TTCACGTTTATTTTATAAACCTTGACACCCTAAACTGGTTCTTGACAGTGGATATTCTGGCTTTAGGCCTTTTCTCAGGCTCAAAGCAAGATTCATTTTTATATAGTTAATATAGGCGAATATGATGACAGGAAAATATTTTTTTAAAATAAGTAAGAACAGACTGAAATACCTAAGTTACAGTATCCCAGTGCCACACTGACATCATGTTGTTGACTGGATATAATGTACCTGCATGCGTGCGTGCCACATGTGTGTGTATATATATTATATATAATATATAAATGGATCATGCACTGTCATCCCTGGAGAATGGATGAGCCCTGCCCCCGCCTGGAAAATTGAAAAGCCGGGTCGGTAGTCACCCTGGGAACAGTTTTTGTTGGAAAATCGAAACTATGATATATGGTTCCTTTCGGTCAAGTGTAGGCCTTCGAAAATAGGCTTTCGTCATAAATTTTTTGGACCAAATCTCCTTGAATTTTAAAAATTTCTCCTTGAAACCTTGAATTTGATGGGAAGTTCATGGCAGGTACCCTGAGTTTGTTGTTCCTCTGTTCCTCAGAGTTGAGATCATCAGGACTTGCCATGGCAGATTGGGGTTTTGCTCATTTTGGGGATGATGATGAAAATGAAGACGAAGATGGAGAATTTGGATTTCAGGTATGTGAAATTTTTAAAATGATGTTTCATGCATCCCCCACTCCTACTTCTGACGAATAACCAAGCTGAAGATCAGGAAGAGGTTCAACTGCACTAGTGATAGATTAACATACATGAGCGTTTGTGCAAAGGTGTTCTTGTACAGTATTTTCTTGGGGGGTGAGGTGTTATTGTCTTTACTGTCATTCTTTCTCTGTTTAGCTGTTGGTCAACTGCTCCACCTCTTTAATGACATTATACTTTGGTGAAGATGGTGTCAGACTTGAAAAAAAAAGTACAGTCGAACTTGCTCTAATGGCCACCTGTCTCAAGACATTTACCTGTGCAGCTAACTACTTCTCACTCTTCCCCCTTCCCCCCTCCCAAAGAGAGCTTCTAAAATGTAATTTGTGACAAAACATCCACGTGTTTGAAACAACTTTTTATACTTCAGGTGGCTGTCTTGGACAATTTTGACTGTTGTTTCACACTGAAATTTAAGTAATTGTGTCAGAGTTGACTGTTGATGTTTAGGTTGTGCAAACCCTCCTTCCAATTTCAGTTTTACTCATCAAAACTTTGACAAAAGATCAGGGTTGGGTTGATTTAAATCAGGTTGATTTAAATCAGTTGATTTTTTTATATTTAAATCAACTTGATTTAAAAAAAAAAATCAGTGATTTAAATCACTTTAAAATTATTTTTTTTAAATTCAGTTTTTACATATTTCAACATTCAGAATTCCTTTCCTTGGTTTCATAAAACAGATATACGGTTTAGTAGACTAATATATTCATGCTTAAAAGTCTGCTTTCCCTCCTTTCACAGTAAAATAATACAGTATTCAATTTACTTTTTTTTCCATAATTGAAATCAGAGCTGGGTTGATTTAAATCAGTTGATTTTTTATATATTTTAATCAACTTGATTTAAAAAATAAAAATCAGTGATTTAAATCACTTTTTAAAAAATGTATTCAGTTTTTACATATTTGAACATTCAGAATTCCTTATCTTGGTTTTATTAAACAGATAAGGTTTTGTAGACTAATTATAATCATACTTAGTTTAAAAGTCTGCTTCCCCCCCTGTCACTGTAAAATAATACAGTATTCAATTGACTTTTTTTTCATAATTGAAATCAGGGTTGGGTTGATTTAAATCAGTTGATTTAAAAAAATTTAAATCAACTTGATTTTAAAAATAAAACTCAGTGATTTAAATCACATTAAAAAATGTATTCTGTTTTTACATCTTTAAATATTCTGAATTCCTTTCCTTGGTTTTATAAAACAGATATAAGGTTTAGTAGACTAATATAATCATGCTTAAAAGTCTGCTTTCCCCCAGTCACTGTAAAATAATACAGTATTCAATTTACTTTTTTTTTATCATTATTGAAATTAACATTTTCTTTTTCTTTTTAGACAACACAAGCGCACGCACACACACACACACACACACACTGTAATGAAATGCAAGTTTATCTATGCATAATTACCCCCCCCCCCCCTTCCTTTTAGACTGACATTTTCTTCATTTTTTGTCTGTAGCCATAATTCACTGATATATATGTATAGCAGATTAAGGCTTTCTTTTGCGGTTGCTTAAATTAATAAGTTAAAATAAAGACAATGCCTTTTGCACTAAAAGAACATACTTTTAGCAACCAAAAATCCCAAACTGTGTCGACATTTTAAAATAAATTTAAAAAAAAAAAAATAGGATTTAAATTTTAAAAATCTTGATTTAAATTTTAAAAATCGATTTTTTAAATTTTTATTTAAAAAAATAAAAAATCACCAACCCTGCAAAAGATAGCCATATATGTAAAATCAGTCTTAGTATTTTCTAGGCTAGTCATATAACCAAAATTTTGCTTCATTGTGTTATTCTTTGTCTTAAGTAATATTTATAAGCACTTCTTTTTTGTTTTAATTAAGAGTCCAACTGACACCAATGACAGATCACCACGGTGAGCATGAACCTTCGAAGAGCACTTCAGAACAATGTTTTCCGTACTATTGATTCTTTGCTAAGAGGACTTATATTTGAGATTAGATGCAGATTTTTTATCTGTGACATTACCTTTGTTAGAACAATTAAGTTTCGTGGACTGAACGTGAATTTAAATATTGATATAATGGACTCCTGCATATTTTTCTTTTTGAAATTTTGGTTTCGTCCCACTGGTGTTTTGAGGCTTCCGCAATGTAACGTCTAAATTCTAAAGCTGCAGTAAATGACTTTACCATGTGTCCTTGTGTGCTGTCTTTTCGTTGCATGACTGACTGAAAGCAACATATTTTTTACAGGCCCGTTTTAACCAGAGGGATGGTCTTATTTTCCTGATAGACACATCAAAATCAATGTTTGATGCTGCTGACGATGAGGAGTGTTTATTTCAACTTTGCATGAAGGTGAAAGTATGATCCTAATATAATATAATAAATAACATAAATTTGTATAGTAAATAGCATTTGCATAGCGCATATATATATATATATCCCTGCTCAACAGCAAGCTCTATGTTTTAAAATCTACATTATTACCCCAGCAGACTCTAGAACACCCAGAAACATTCTAGACTTCCTGAGAAGCATAAAGTCATAACGTTGGCCTATTATCTTCATCTCTTAAGTTTTACTGCGCACAAATTTGTGTCTCTGTGTGTTTAAACCATTATTAAATTATATGTATGTGACTATGTGTGTGTGTAAGAGAGAAAGATAGATGGGCAGACAGACAAATGAGCATTCGGATGGACTGTTAGACAGATGGAGGGAGACAAAAAGAATGAAGGGCAGAGAGAGAGAGAAGAGTAGGAGACATGGGGTTTGGAGGGGGGGGGGGGTAAGAAAAGTTTTGTGCTGTATTGTCTGTTTGTGTTGTTGTATTCCATTTTATTTTAAAATGATACTTCCTATACAAGAGTACATAGGTGCAACTGATCGTTTCATTTTTTGAATTATTAATTTTTTTTGTTTACTCTTTTTGACTTTGACTTTTTATCTCAAACAAAACATTTTTTATGCAGGCTGCAAAGACAACAGTCCAGAACAAGATCATCAGCAGTGAAAGGGATTTAATTGGAACAGTGTTTTTTGGAACAGTGAGTATTTTAGTTAAAGTAATCTGTTTCTTTGCTGTGTGTATCAAAGATGTAAAAGTAAAATCCTGATGCTGGGCAAGTGATGGGCTAGTGTCACTAAGGTGTTCATGCAAGTGTAAAAACAGCATTCTTCGCTGTGGCAAGCAATCCACTTAAATCCAAATTTGGAAAATGTTTGATTTTTCGGAGTGGCTAGCCGCCCGGTCTGGGGTGGCTAGCGTTTTGCTACTGGAACGAATTCGGTCGATTAGCCTGACACTTCTTGCCCAAGGGGATTTCTGTGCATGTTCCATGTTCTGGCCCGTGGGGGTTTCTCTCTCTCTCTCTCTCTCTCTCTCTCTCTCTCTCTCTCTCTCTCTCTCTCTCTCTCTCTCTCTCTCTCTCTCTCTCCCTCCCTCCCTCCCTCCTTCTCTCTCTCTCTCTCTCTCTCTCTCTCTCTCTCTCTCTCTCTCTGCCCGCTGACAAAATTGTTTGCTTTCAACTCAGTGCTCAGGGTGTCCAGCAAAGTCGCAAAGTCGTAAAAAAGTCGTAAATTCGGCACTCTGGTCGCAAAGGTCGTAAATGGTAGTAAATTTGCCTTGAAGGTAGTAAAAATTTGGTAAACGGTCGTAAATTAGCCTGCATACTGAATGATGAAGCCAGCAAGACTTTTCAGTGAACCCTAGCCTCAGTTTTTGCAGGTCGCGATTGTGATATAATTATTCGTTTACCTTTTCCCCGTCCGAGAGTACGTTTCACGTGAAAAGCCGGCTATGGCGGCCGGTGGAAGTGTATGTGACACCGAGGCTCGATCGGGAAAATCGAGATCTACTTTCGCTTTCGTTACCACCCTGAAATTTGACGAAGATAAACTGATAACGCAACATTTGTAATACGCAGGTTGTACAGTATAAACGCTGTGTCGCCGTGCAAACAAAATTTATTAATTACTCGGACTCTGTCACTTGTGGGGGTTTTGGGGGGGGGGGGGTGAAAAGAAAATACAAGCTTTGTCCGATTTTTAGATTGTAGGGTTCGCCAGCGTGACAGGTCAGTGAACCTTCGCGCGAGGCACTACAAGGTACGGCATCGGTGAGCACCAGCGTTTCTTGGGGTCGCCAAAGTTCATTAAAAAGTCGAGCGTTGCGAAGTATAGGACTACGGAGTAGGGCAGGGATTATTGATTTTTAAAAAAAGACATTCGGGGGAGGGGGGGGGGAGCGGATGAAGGCAACACCAGAGGACAAAAACTGTATGCAAATTTCAGAATTTTGATTAGATTTAGAGCCCTCTGCAAAGCGCGCGTTGGTGCAGGCCTTGTGTGGAATCGGGATCCGTCATACCTTGTAAGCCGTGTTATTGAAATAAAGTGTTCGCGTTTCATTTGTTGGGTGATAGTAAATTAGAACAATATTGTAGCTTTCTGTTCAAGACTGGCAGATTTTCAGTGCCACTGCCTCTTGCCCTCTCACAGTTCTTACACCTTTCACAGTTCTTACACCTCTCACACTGAATATGTTTACTCGAGTCATTACGTGTGTGCGCGTTGTTGTTGTGTAACATGGCCCTGGAAAATGGAGAAGCCGGTTTGGCAGTCACCCTGTGTGTACACATTAGGTACAAATCTCCCCCACCTCCCCCTCCCACCTCCACCAGGGCAGTGCTACTGACTGAAATGTCTTTAGGCCATTCCCAAAGGGAGGATATTAACATGTTCTTATGCACAGTAGAATTGTAAATGGGCTGATTTATCAATGTCATGCTCATACTGTGCTGGACCCGCGTAGGGGAAACTGCTGCCTTTTCTGTCCTCTTCTTTACCATCGTCATTTTCCTCTACTTCTTTTGTATGTTTGTCACACTTGTGAACTTCTATTTCCGGGGTGCCTTGATAGTCGAAGCTTGGACTTCTCTGTTGACATCCACCCCTTGTCGCTCATATCACCTATGCAGTTGCGAGCGCCGTAAAAACCTTACTAAAACTAAATCTAGCTGCAAGCAAGCTTGTGGTCGTCTGTCTATCCTCCATTTTGTCGACTGGACTTTGTTGTGTGTTCTTTTCGTTCCATATGTTATGTAATAATAATATATATGTTATTGATGGCGCAGATTAACTCCCTTTTTCAAGCTGGTGTGGGGCTTGATTTGCTGGGTAGTAAATTTTTTTCCAGGTAGTAAATTTTTTCAGGAAATATTGCTGGACACGCTGAGTGCTGGAACGTTTGTTTACACTTGTGTCATGGGCCGTCACATGCTAAGACAAGGTCGCGCCCAAGTCTTGCTCGGACGCGAGATAGGGCTATTGAAACATATTGGTAGTAGAGAATCTTTTATAGCATCACAAAACTTCATTTCTATTTTTAGTAACTTTGTCACCTTCATTCCAATGAATAATAATAAAGGGTGATAGATCTAGTCAACTCGTGAGGGAAACCCCGGAGAAAGTTAGTAAAAGTTGCAAAAAGTTGCTAGAAAAATTAGCAGAAGTTGTGCAAAAGTTGCGCTAATGGCAAAAATTGCGCGAGCAAGTTGCAGAATGCGGGCGCAAATTCCTGTGAGGACAGAATCATAGATGGCGGAAATACGTCATCTATATTTGGGCTAATCACAGAGGTGTACCAGGTGCTCTCTATAGCTTCATGTTGCTTGGAAGGCCGCGAGGCCGTATTTACGTTACCTAGTACTAGAATTAGGTGAACAGCTCTGGGTGAGCAGAAAAATGCTAGTCATCCAAGGTCGCAGAAATCCCCATGGGCCAGTAGCGTCAGGCTAATCGACCGAATTCGTTTGAGTAGCAAAATGCTAGACGCCCCGATTTGGGCGGTTAGCACCAGCTTTGATTTTTACACCCTCCAAAGCTCTAACAAAGATGCATTTTTCAGCACCACCAAAATGCTATCGTCAAGGCTTACAAATGTTTTGCCTTTCTTGATTCCTGATGGGAACAACACAACAGAAACCTAGTTTTTTGCATCTTGTGTGAAAAGTACCCAAAGTTAAATGGGTTGCTTGCGACACTAACGATATTCTAGCTTTAGTGGTAGAGGCTTTAGTGAATTGAGGCCCCTAAATAATGTTAAGCACTGCCTATGACACAGCTTATCAGTGAGTGGTCACTAAAATGTCTTTTGGCAGGACACGACTACTTACTTAGACTCAGAAATTCTCATGTCTTGAAATGCATGAGGCAATCAGAGATGACCACAGAGATCTGTCTGGAGCAAAGGCAGAGGCATCACTCCATTTCTTGTCTTCTAGCTACAGGTCTTTCCCTATTGTCTTTCTTCCTGTTTATCTTTGGCCATCCTTTAACAAAAGCATATTCTGACTTAAGTGGTAGAAGACATAACAACTTTAGCTCAGAAAACGGGGTACCGCACAGTGGCAACCAGCCATGGCTTGTTTTGAGAATGACTATGCTGGTGTAATGCTGTGTCTGTGACATTGATGTAATTTCGTGATTATTTTATGTATATATTGTAAGACCTTTGTTGGCTTTACTTGTAGATGAATAAAAGTAGTACAATGTATTCCCATCGCAATTTAATTTTCTATTTCTTCAGGAGGAATCTGAAAATCAAAGTGGATTTAAACATGTTTATGTTTATCAGGTAAGTCTTTTACTTAATTTGTAGTTAATAAAACTTGCTGTGTGTGCTCATGATTTTAAAAAAGTAGACTATACGTCTGGCATGCACATAGCAATCAGATTTTGAGAACCTGAATTTTTTCTTAAATATTATTTGTCTTCAAAATATGCACATAGCTAAAACAATTTTTACATATATGGGAAAAAACTGGCGTCTGCGATGGTAGGTCTAATTGAACAGGGAATTTCGTTTACTGAAGTAGATGTGATGAGAGAGGTTCGGGGGGGATGACTTCTCTCTAAGCAGAGGACAATAGCATTGGCCAAGAACTTACACACTATGAAACAACTTTCCGGTGTTTTGCAAAGTTAGGTCTAGTTGAAGCTGTAGTAGATAGTGGATCATGGCGGAGCAAAAGAAGTGGGAAAGCTTCTTGGTCGAGGAAAAATGGCTGAACCTAGCAGATATAAAATTTTAAAAATCAGTGTCAAAAACTCAAATATTCGACTATGAACCCAAATTAGCTTAGGAGGCATAATTCATTTATAATTTTGACCCAATGGTACAACTGTGTGTATCACCCTTGATATAGCCTGAAATTTGCACATAACAAAATTCATTCCTAATGTTTTTATAAATGTTTTACAGCACTTGCAACTGCATAAGGTCATATGAGCGTGCGGGACACATTAAATATGTTATTTGGTAGAAATTTTGAATTCTGCCAGAGTGGCTGCCGAAGCCTACTCTTATCGATTTTAATTTTAGGACCACCAAGGGATCTTTAACTTGCGCAGCTTGCACACAGGACCTCTGAGTTTTTTCGCCCTTATCCGAGAAGGTTAGGTGTTACATCTTACCTACCGTAAGATCTGAGATGTGGTTGAAAGACAGCAGTAAGAAGGAGCCAAGGAGTAGCAGTAGAAAGGCTGCAGAAAGAGTCAGAGGGGACAAAGGGGAGGAGGCAGAAAGTGGAGACAAAAGCAGACAACAGAGCATGGTTAGAGAGCATGTAAGGAGCAGAAAATTTTCCATTGCTGTCAGGTTTTGAACTCGGGACCTATCGAATGAGAAGTAAACACTGTAACCTTTGGACCACGAGAGCCCCCCTAGCTAACAAAAAGATTTCCGAGTCCTGCCAACTTTGCTATTTATATTATATATATGCATGCTTAACTGTATACTAGAGAACAACAATTCCTAAACTTCCACTCAAACAACACTGAAACCTACAACGCAGACTTCACATTAGACGAACTAACATCGTGCAATGCAGCCCCGGGTCCGGATGACATCCACAACCAGATCATTAGACACTTACCCACAGAAACACTTACACTCTTACTAGACATATACAACGACATGTGGTGGTCGCACTCCTTTCCGGAGTCTTGACGTCTCGCCACTCATTCCAATACCCAAACCAAACAAAGACTACACGCACCCATTCAATTGCAGACCAATAGCACTGATGAGCTGTCTGTGCAAACTTATAGAAAAAATGATTCTCAGGCGACTCATGTGGTTTCTGGAGACGACGGGCTTGCTGAGCGGTCTCCAGTGCGGATTCAGAAAAACACGATCCTTTCTGGATCACCTGGTCCGCCTGGAGTCCTTTATAGGCGAGACATTTCCTGAAGGCGGCCACATGATCGCCATCTTTTTCGACCTGGAAAAAGCCTTCGACACAACCTGGAAGTACGACATTCTCCGAGACCTGCACGCTCTCGACATACACGGTCATCTTCCTGCCTTCTTTGGCAATTTCCTGAAGAACCGTTCCTTCCAGATTCGTGCCAGATCCTCCCTTTCAGACCCCCACTAACAGGAGGAAGGTGTCCCCCAGTGAAGCATCCTTTCTCCTCTCCTATGTTCGAAATCAAAATAGATTCCATTGTTTAGATCCTCCGAAATAGTATAGACAGTTCATTATACGTTGACGACTTTTTGATATGCTACCGTTCGAAAAACCCTCGACTAAGGTCTATGGAAAGGCAGCTGCACAAACTTGAAAAGTGGGCAAATAATAATGGCTTTAAGTTTTCCCCGTCAAAGACGGTTGCGGTACACTTCTGCCGATCAGGCAGACGTGTACTGCAACCGGATTTGACACTATACAGGGAAAGGATTCCCATCCAGGACCAGCGTTGTTTCCTCGGCATTATATTTGACAAGAAACTCATATTCATACCTCACATAAAAGACCTTTGTGTGAGGTGCCAGAAAACGTAAAACGCTTTGAAAATTTTATCACATCCGGAGTGGGGTGGGGACTCAAAACCCCTTGTCTGATCCAGGCTTGACTACAGCTGTCTCGTTTATGGATCGGCAAAACACCACGTCCTGAAAATGCTAGACCCAGTACAAAACCAAGGACTCCGCCTCGCCCTGGGGACTTTCCGCACTTCTTCAGTGAAGAGCCTCCAGGCGGAGGCAAACATACCATCACTCACACTCAGACGCACACAACTCTCACTTCAATACGCAATTAAACAATGCTCGACACCAGAGAACCCAGCACACGACTCGACTATTTTCAGAACAAACCCAGACACCATAAACACCAACAAAACAACGAAAAACTCATCAAACCCGTCGGCCTCAGAGTCCTCGAGGACCTTAAAAACATGCAATTTTCCAAACGGGACATCAACAATTTGTTTTCCCCAAACTCTCCTCCATGGCACCTCACCAAGACAAAAATTGACTTACAGCTGACCACTCACCCCAAAGCAAGCACGAACACCAAAACATTTAAAGCAGAATATGAAAAACTTATAGAAAAATATCCTGCTGTGGAGCTAATCTTCACAGATGGCTCTAAGTCGGACTCCTTTGTGGGTGCCGCTGCCCTTTCCTCAAACAGTACACACCAGAGGAGACTCCGTCCCGAAGCCTCCATTTTCTCTGTGGAGGCCACTGCCATTGACCTGGCAGTGGACTCCATAGAAAATTCTCCCGACAAATCTTTCCTTATCCTATCTGACTCTCTGTCTTGAATCGCCTCACTCACAAACTTCACACTCTTACATCCGAAAATAGTCAGATTACAACAAAAATTACACACGTTGGCTGAAATCGGGAAGAATACCTAGCCATGTGGGCATCCGAGGAAATGAGCAAGTGGAGTGGACCTCCTGACGAAAGAATCCTTGTCCCTTCTGTTGGGATCAGCGATGAACACTCTCCCACAGACTGACTTAAAAAATATAGTAAAAAACTACACCTCCAGTCTGTGGGAGACTCATTGGAAAAAGCAAGTAAACAACAGCCTTCACTACATTAAGCCCAAACTGGGACCGAGAAATCCTTCGGGCCTCTCCAGAAGAGACAAAGTTATTTTTACTCGATTTCGATTACGCATCGGACACACGTCCCTGGCACATAAATACCTCCTTCAAGGAGATGAGAAGCCGTTTTACCATTAGACACATTTTAACAGAATGTCTAGACTTCGGAGAGACCCGAAGGAAATATTTTAGATGCAAAAAATTGCTAGATCTGTTTTCTGTCTTTGATCCCAACAGAATTCTGGATTTTATCAAGGCCATTGGGAAGTTGTGAATGGGATTGTTAAAATTTTTTTGGTGTTATTTAAAAAGTTGTTTTAAATTTATTTATTTACCTCAAATTTTTAGCAGAGGTGTTGACCAGAGTCAGGCTGTGCAGTGTACTGTTGCAAACAGGACCAACCTTTTTTCACGCTCTCATATGACCTTATGCAGTTGCAAGCGCTGTAAAACTCTTAATAAAACTAAACTAAATTATACAAGTTTTGCAGTAATGTAATGTCACTTGATTAACATGATAGTGACTTGATACTTTTCTTGAAGAAATACATTTGTAGTGTATCATCAAGCAAAGTTTTCTTGAAATCTTTAGTCTTTTAAACCCTATCCGTACGTCGTGTTTTACTATCGTATCCATGCAACGTGGGGAACTCTGTACCGCCACTTTCAAAGAGGAAATTTACTCGTTAATCCGATCCGTACGCTTTGCTGCTGCACAGCAGTCTGTCAAAATGATTTTTTGAGAAATACTGAAAGTTTCAAAGAGATCTTCATACTAGAAGAATTCTAAAATGTGAAGAATACAACCCTGGGGTACAAAATGACCCCAGGGGGTACGGATAGGGTTAAAGGAAGAATGAATTGTGAAGCATCGTGCTGAAATAAGGCGCTCTTCAAAGTAATGAAATTGAAGAAACTGGCATTTTCCGCCAGTTGGGCAATTTTTATCAAATTTTTGTTTTTTGGCTCAACCCCTTTCATGCCCATTTGAAATAACATTTCTGTGATAATTTTTCTAAAATACATTGATTTAAGGCACAAAAAGTGTAAATTTTGAATTTCCAAGTACTCTCTATCTATGAAATTCACAGAAGTTTGGTGGCCATTGTCATGCTAATTTTACCTCTGAAACCAGGCGACCCCCACCTTCTTCAATCATGAATACCTCGACTTCTATTCAAGATCGATTGGTATTTTATTCATTGAAAGCAAACAAAATTTACAAGCTTTAAGATGATATCAGTATTTCCACATGCTCAAAAACTGATGAGCACCAACCATATTCCACCGCTTCACGTGACAAAATTGTTTGTAGACCTGTTTAAGACGCTTCATGCTATGTGCCACATCACCCCCAATTATATCAAACTCTGAATTCCAAGTGGAAAGTGAACAAGAATAAGGAGTTTTTAGAATTGTGTTTTATATATCTATATTTATATGAACTTTTGCCAATAGGTGGGTACCTTTAATGTTACATTATGCAGCGCTGAGGGTTGATGATACAGTTTTTAATATTTTGTTTTTACTTCAATTTTTCTATTCATGTATATCTCCTCCTACAAAAACATGTATTTACAGACCAACGGATGGCATGCTAAGCTGTGACTGGCGTTACATAACATCTAGTCAAATTCTTTCGGACGTAACTATGATGACTTATTTCTTAGAATTTGAACATACAATATTATTTTAACAGTTTTCTTATTGCTTTAATTTTCAAACATAAGCATGAAGAGCATATAAAATGGTGAGGATCACAGAAAAAGAAATTTTGAATGCCATTGTGTTTGCATTTGTGTCATCATTGTTATGTCCAAAAGAAATGAAAAACTTCCCGTTTTCATATATCTTAATTTCTTTTATGAAATTTTGAGCAAACAACTATTCAAAAGATTCAATTTGACTCACAATGCATGTTAATGAAGGAAAAATACCACTTTATTCACGTTTAACTATGAACCTCTGCAAAATATCAAATATCTTTCGAACGTAACCATGATAACACAAAATGAAAAATACCCTGAAAAGTAATTTATAGAACGTAAAATTATTTTGATAGTTTTCTCATTCCTTTACTTTTCAAACATAAGCATAAAGAGCATATAAAATCATAGAAAAGAGAAATTCTGAACGTCTTTGTGTTCGCATTTATATCAGCATTCATGTAGTTATGAACATAACCACTATGACACATAATGGATAAATGCTTGTCGTCATTTTGGAACATATCATCGATTTACATCGAATTTTCCCCTCTCGTTGACCTCTAACCAAACACCGGTGGTCTCATCCAGATCTACCACTACTTGACCTTTGGAATGCAGTGTGATGTTAATCATTACTTGGTTTAAATTTAACTAAATGGGGGGAAACATTTTTCGGACATAACAGCTTTTTTCTAACATAACATGTTAAGATTTGATGACGATATAAAAAAACTTAAATGAATTTGTCTCATCCATCGTTATTCTTCTCTCCATCTTACATCGCACAACAATACGCTTTGAATGGATTCGACAGGACCAATGCACGTTCCTCCTCTTCTTTTATTTCTTGTTTTCTGATTGGTTCTTTCGAGCATAGCAATTGAAGACAGAGCGCGAGGCGTCGCGGGATTTCCTTTACTGAGAAATTATGCTCGGTCACAGCTTCGGAATCAGTCAGGGCAGAGAGTAAAAACATTGAACGATATTATGCTCGTTCCAAGACCCCAAAATGGCCGATAGAAACGAAGTCACTGGGAATCGATGTTGCCTTTCGAAATGATTACACGAGTTATTCTCGAAAATGAAAATCTAGAAGGCTCACAAAGAAAAAACAGCTACAGGTATCATTATTCCTGATATAGCACCACAAGTAATATAGTTATAGTAGTAAAAGTGTTGAAGGAAGAGTTTCTCAGCAATGATTTCATTGTTGAACCTGATGACAGAAAAAGTACGAACTCGACGCGTCATATTTTGCATTCTAAAAATACATTGATTTCAGAGCTAAAAATATTTGTAAAATTTCTTCTGATGGCCTGACTGCTATGTCTCTGTTCTCGTAGCTGAAACATCATATTAAGCACCACATATACAAATTTCAAAGCTGTAGCACCATTTTTATTGGAAAAGGAAAGGATTTTGTAAGGTTTATGAAGAAACCCCCACCTATTGGCACATATATATATGTTTACTTGTTTACATATATATATATATATATATATATATATATATATATATATATATATATATATATATATATGTTTACATTGTAATGACAGTGGAATCAGCTCTTTCGGCCGCATGTCCCAAGATCATTCCCTGTACAGACACCTACTTTCTACTTCATCTGTTACATTTTCTTATCTATGTTTTAATGGCAGTTTTCAAGAGGATCACCTGTTTGAGGTGACCACTCTTCTTTTCAACAATTGATGGTCATCATTAGTAGGTTTGACTGTACTTGCACAAGCTCAATTTTGATTCTGTCTCTTATATTTTCCTACTTATAGAGCCTAGATCAGCCTGGAGCTCAAAGGATTCTGGATTTAGAAGACATGGAAGAAAGTAAGAATTTCATTTTGAAATGCACTCTAGCAGTGTTGTGTTTTAGATGTATTGAAACTAGCGCATGAGTGCACTTGGATAAGCAAACCTATCTTTTTCTCCCGACAATCTATTACATTTTCGTACATACTGGTCTGCTAGTTTCTTGTCTTTGTTTGTGTGTGTCCATACATATTTCATAATATTTATCAATTCCTTGCACTATAAGGCTGTATTTGTTTTGATAACCCTATAGTTTTATTATGGATTTTGTAATGTTTAATAAGTGTATTGTTTGGTAGGTGGGCTGGTATCAGTTCTCTTGCACTACTTCTTTTCAATCCTAATCCGTTGTTGATGAATTGTAGACAATTCTTGATGATTCAATGTAAAACAGCAATCTAACAGTGATGTATAGATAGCATCACTACAAAATGAGTCTCACATGTTGCATTTTGGTAATATGAAACCAGGGGTATAAAATTAAAGATCCCGTCAAGCCACACACGTTAGTGAAAAAGGTTTTAATGTAGCTGATTTGGTTCCAAAATTATAGTCACTTGAAACCTGGGAGTCGAAAACACACAGTTATGACAAAATCAAAGTTTTGCCTGCTATCCGAAAACAACGGAGTGGGACAAGTGACATTTTGGTGCAATACTTCACATACATTTCTGTTGTTTTGATTAAATCAGAGAGCCATTGTTTATTAGGTTGAAAAGAAGATATCATCAACGCATTTGGAGTCAAAAATGGAATCAAACATAGTGTCTTAATGGGGCCAAAAACAAGATGACAAATTTCATGCTGATTTGATGAGATGAATTTTTGATATAATTTTGATTTGTAAACATACTCACAAACCCTCACGCATACATGCATGAATGCATACACACACTGATACACACACACACATGCACGTGCGCACGTGCACACACACACACAGTGATACTCGTTTGTATATATACATATACAAGCTGGGCCCCCTTTCGATGAAAGGAGTGGTCGGTGCATTAACGCCAACTGAAAGTCATTGGCCTACTACATTTACACTCTTCTGGAATGGAGCAATAAATCTTGACCGAAAAGTGACACACGTGTTTCCAAGTTGCCAAATATAATAATATTCTAATCTAAGCCCTACTGACGTTGTTCCCAGTAGCAAGAAAAAGAATTTGACAAAGGAGTGCAGAAAAAGGGATGATGGGCATCAAACGAAAGGATCACAGTCAAATTTAGCACCAAGTAAAAAAAAGAAAACATGAGGCTAGATCCAATAAATCAATACGGGTTGCACACTTAAAATAATGCTCAGTATTGCACGACAATGCGCGATAGTATCGAACGGAAGTACGACTTCAAGGCGGATTTTCTAAAAGTACAGAGACGGAAGTGTCGGCCTACAAAAACGATCGGCGAAATAAAGAAATTTAGCTTTTTGCAGCAAAACTGTCTCAAAACTGAAAAAACGAAGGGCCCCATGTTCTGGAGAATATTTTAAAGAATCTTTTGGCGAAAACCGCATGTTGATCGATGCAGTCATTAAAAAGCCTTTTGAATAGCAAAATTCGGCCACCACAAATAGATAATACATTTTATATATATGGACACAGACACACACGCAAGCACATGCACAAACATACACTCATAGAGTCATGTTTGTATATACATACAGAATTTGTCAAGAACAATTTTGTAATGTAATTTCAGATTGTGTTAGAACATTTTCCAAGGACTATGGGCACAATGAAGCTTACTCATTGAGAGATGCTCTCTGGACATGTCAAAACATGTTTGCAAGCAGGTGAGACTGTAGTACTGTTTAGGTAAAATTGAGATGCTAACAGTAAAAATTTGAATTGTTCACAGCTCTGCATTTGTGCAATGTGTAGAAAGGGGTTTGCTTGGTTGTTCCCTTTGTTATTTTGGTCTGCTATTAAATTGTGAGAGTGGGTGTTTGGAGGATGCTCTGGTGTGGTTTGCTCCTTTTTTCCTCTGTCAATTATCTATTGCCTTTACCTTTCCTCCTTGTTATCTTTGCATGCTACTCTCTCGGAATACCTCTATTCTTCAGCACTTATACGGCCTTTTTTTGTTGCAAGTACTGTAAAACTTGTTCTAAAACTAAATTGTGAGAAATATAGTCAACAAACATTTGCATTTATGAAATGGTTGATAAAAAGCGCATGCAAATTTTAATGGAAACAATTAAATGTAGAGTTTGCATACTTCTTGAGGCCGCAATTGAAATTTTTCTTACAGTCACTCACTGAGTAGGCTGAAATTAATTTTGATTTGCTCTCACCTTCAGAAAAATCTCAGTGAAGGATGTGACCTGGTAGATATAGATGAGACTGGGGCTTATAACCACAGTGTGACCAGTAGTCCCAAATGCAGCTGTGATTCAGCCCTAAAGTGGCCACCTGTCAAAAAATGAAAGCAAAGAACAACTCAAAGACAAACTGAATATTTGATAATGATTTTCATACAAAAAAGAATGGAAAGCCTCTAAAACAGATAATGTAGCCCATACTGATATTCCTTTTACAAATTTGATACAATCAATCTAACAAAAGAAGAGGGCACTCCCTCCTGCCTTTAATGCTTCCTCCTTTCCACCTCTCATTTCTTCTTTCCTTTGCATTGGCCATCCTTGTAATTGATTTAACAATAGGTGTAAAAATACAATATAATTTCAATTTGCCACTCAACAATCTGAAATATTAGTGGTTTGTGGTCACCTTGGAATTTTTAGTCTCATTGTCATCCTTTTCTGTTTTTTGATCTATTGAAATGCATCCGTTTATGCAATCTCCACCGGCATCCATGGTGTAGTGGTTAGGTCAGGAGACCCGAGTTTGGTTCCCGAAAGGAGAGATTTTTTATTGAGTATCTTGGCCATTCTGTCTGCTCGGGTTGGCCTTGACAGGCAGGGTCTGAAGCCTGCCTCGTATTGTGTCGATTGGGGCATAAAAACACCTGCATTTGAAAAGAAAAAAAAGTCATTACCATTCCACAACAGTACACCCTTCTGACATTTAAGATGACATAATTCTTGTTTTTCAATGTGATCCAGTGCGCAGAATCTTGGATCCAAGAGAATCATGCTGTTCACAAACAATGATGACCCACATGGAGCCAACCCACAGTTGAGAGTAAGGAACATAATTTTAAGGATTACTTTTAGTTTGCCATCAATTTGTTTAGTCCTTTTTTCTAAGCTTGTTTGAGTCATTTTATGATATACAGTGATGTACAATCTAAAGAGCAACTTTCCTTTTTTAAAATTACTGTAAAAGTGAGTTAACTCATTTCGCCCAGTCTACGTTAATATGTACGTTGGGCATGTGTGCTGGCCAGGACCTGTCTACGTGAATAGATGTAGTGGGTAATTACTATACTTAACCAGATCTTTTCCATGTTTCCAGGTTTCCCAAAAGAAAAATAATATCCATCACAACATTAAAAAATAAGTTTGCTTTTTATCTAGTCCCCCCCCAAAAAAAGAATGAAAGTGTTAAATATTGGAGGCAAACTACGACAAAATGAATTGAAATGACAAGAAGAGGGAAAAAATGAAACAACCGCAGAACCAGCTTTGCAACAACCGTCTTTGTTCTTGTAAATGTGCATCAACTGTGTGTTTGATTTTTATTTTGGTGTAAGGGCTGAAGAATAGAAAAATAGACTGAAATCTAGACACCCGAATTATTCAATTTGGTTTCAGTACCAGTGTCTTGAAAATCATAAAAGAAGAGGTAGATCTAAATTATAGATTACCAGATTTGCTATGGGTGAACTGAGTGCCTATGAGCTGTCATCCAAAGAAGAATTAAATTGTGTTTTATGTTCTCGTATATCCTTTCACTCTAATATTTTAATAAATCATCTTACATAAAATCTGGCGAGATTTTATATTGATAGGTTGAGTAGTTTAGACACCGTGCATGTTTAAAGTTTGTGTGTCAATTTATTACCTTTTTTTTTTTACCTTGGCTTACGTAAGCCAGGTGGGGACAAGCGCATTGCTCAAGGCATCCTAGGGCAAATAGGGCCAAGTGAAGTTTCCCAGACTTGAAGAACTCTAGTTCTTAGAATGTCTTAAGCTCCAAACGCAGTGGGGAACAACTTCTATACGCCTTCAACACGTATCTCAAGCCGAATGTATGTTGCACGATAGAACTGAAAGTGTTGCAAACGCAGTGCGATACAATGTATATTTAACTTCTCCACTACAGTGACACGATGACCTGAACAAAGACGAGGGCATAGATCACCTGACAATCAGGCTAATTCCAAAAAGATGTTATAGGGGTCAAAGATATTGAGTGCATGGGATATTTAGAAAAAGGGAAAGATTGGATGAATATCGTCATCATTTGGATGAGGTTCTGAACCACGAAGAAAAGTGCATAGATTACATCAGAATGAAGCCGTCAACGTTTCGTCCACTCTTGGAGCTAGTGAGTCCAGCTATCATCGAGTGCACGGTAAACTTTCGAAAGCCTTTGTCCCGAAGGGAACACCTTTAGATTACTTTTAGGTAATGTGGCTGATCTGTTCAGTATCATCATCAACATCATCATCACAATTACTGTTATCACCATCATCATTGTCACCAATACTGTCGTCGTCGTCATCATCATCATCATCATCATGGTTGTTAATAATTGTTAATAAAATGTACTACTCCCTGCTACGTACAAATCACTAATATAAAAATGGAAATGCATTGTATGTAAAGATTAAACTCTTTAATGCATTTTAAAAGGAACTTAAATTCTTTGATTCTGTTGTGTATAATACTCGTATGTATCTTTAGAAGTCTGCGATTGTTGATATTGATATGCCTTATGTATAGGTCGGGTCAACCCAAATGCGAGACAGGATCCACGATGTAGCAAGGCATTTGTGCACTTTCGTAAAAAAGTTGTAGCGAACACGTGTTGTGTAGCGAAATACAGCTGTGTTGTCGTCACTGCGTTTCAGTAGAAGGTTTAAATAGGGTTTCCAATGCATGTTCACACCGAAAGACAAATCCGTGCTGAAGACGCGTTGATGTTTGTTCTTACTGCGTTCGTAGCTTTATGAGAAGAGATGTTTTGGGAACTATCGTTCCCGCAAATGGGCTATTTTCTATTGTTTTTCAAGTTTGTGAGTTTTTGTTGTCAAACTTCTCAAAGTTGTTCATTTTAGAGAAAGACTAGGTGAGGTTAACCTTAACTTTTTTTGCAAATTTTAAACCATGCCCGGTTTTGGTTTTGATGTTCAGTTTCAGAATATTCACATTCACCTTCACATATTCTGTTGTGTGGTTGACTGCTTGGGCACCTCTGCAGATTTTGCAACCAATTTCTTCCACTCCTCTCGGTTTTCAGCTTTCTGTAGTGTGATGTTCTAGTCATTGCCAGTTCACTACTTTGATGTTGTCTTCCCATTATTTCTTCTGTCTTTTTCTTTGTCTCCCTGCTTGTGATGTACTCTTCGATAGTCTTGGCCATTCCGGATGGTTGTGTGATGTGCTCATATCATTTCAATTTTCAGAATATACTGCCTCGCAAAGTTCTAATTTATCTTAGATTCAAATACTTTTCACGTAATGGTGTGATAAAATAAGATATTTGAAAATTTGTTTGGTGTGTTCATATTTCTTGCTTTGTTTTTGTTTTCAGAGACTTGCGGTGACAAAAGCCAGTGACCTTAATGAGACTGGCATCGACCTAGAACTAATGCATCTGCAAAATCCTGGCCAATCTTTTGACATCAACAAGTTTTACAAGGTGATGTTGCTCACTACTGTTTACAGTTCTTATCTCTGTTTGCATTTATGTGTTTGCCACAGAAGATTTTGAAGGTAACAAGCTGGACTAAGATAAATGCTGCCTCTCTTACCCTCTTGCTTAACTCTTTGGCTTCCAAGGCATTTTCCGCGCTGTGACCAAGGCATTTCTTAGTCTTAGAATTTCAGAAGTACCCCTGTTCTTCTTTTGTGTCTGATGGGCATAATTCCATCTGGAAGTCAGACATGTTGTATACCAAAATGAAGGTAATTGAATGTAGAATAGTTTTAATCTAATAAAAAAAATTGAAAAAAATAATAAATCCAAACAAACATGGGAGGTAAGTGAACACAAGGTGAAAAAAAAATAAAAAATAACAAAACATTTTCAACTTACATTTCTCACAGTGTATAGCTGCTAAATCTAATCACTTCATGACTTGGTCATACTGAAGTATATCCAATTGTCTCTAACTGGGCCAAGTTTCATGCACAATGGTCAAGTATATACAAAGTTGTCGTACTTTTGGTGAGATCACTCACAATGAAAAAAAGATTTAAAAAAACGCTGCACACACGTCCCTCTTTGCGAATCTTCATTCTCATCGCTGTCGCTGCTGTCCGACTCAGGTCTAACTTCATCACCTCCTACATCACTATCGGAAAGTACTGACAGTTCCCCATCAAACTTTTCGAGGGCTTTTGAAGCAGAAAAGCGTTGTGACGGGCGGGGACCTGATGGGTTGGTTATCAGCCATTTTGCCGTTGCTATGCGTAAACTAATTCGAGCAACACAGGGCGGGTAAAAAAACCCATGAAAAAATGCCAAAAAACCAGCAGAATAAAACACAAAAGGCGCCAAATTCCTTCACTAGTTGACTGATGTATGGTAAGCAGAGCAGTTAAAAACATGAAACGGAAAGGTTGAGTCAAATTGTGGAAGGGAAAGGGAAAGAAAAGCGTGAGCAGATAATTCGACTCTTGGCCACGAACTAGGAAGTTATGGAGCCGATAGATCGGCTCATGGTAGTCAAAGAGTTAAGCATGATTGTTTAAAAGTATTACTAAGTGATGATGAACTGATTTAGAGAAATTACGCAGTTTTTAAAAATGATTCTGTTCTTTGTTTTGCTGTTGAAAATTATTTGTTCAAATGCTTAATGGGTCTTTTTAGCAAAACTGTCAATGGAAAAATTTAACAGACTTTGTTCTTCGTCTTTGTACTATGTATCTCCTCATACTGTGATCAGTCAGGTTACTTAGTGACAGCAGGGTTATAAATCTTGACATTTTTAGAGACAAAGATCCTGTAGTACTGTTCTGTTTTATGTCCTCCCGTCTTTCTGAAGTGGCATCCCCCCCCCCCACACACACACACCAGGGCAGTGCTACTGACTGATGTTGGTTTTAGGCCATTCCCAAAAGGGGGAATATTAACATCTTCTTATGCACAGTAGAATTGTAAATGGACTGATTTATTACTGTCATGCTTATACTGTGCTAGAACAACATAGGGAGAACTTCTGCTTTTTCTTTCCTCATCTTAACTATCATCATTTTCCCTCTATTTGTTTTGTATGTTTGTTACTCTCTTGTGAACTGTTATTTCCTGGGTGCCTTGATAGTCAAAGCAGACTTTGTGCTGTTGAGGCTAGAGTGGTGAGCAGGGTAAGCCTGATTCCCCGTTTGGACTTCTCTGTTGACATCTTCCCCTTGGCCCTCATATGACTTCATGCTGTTGCGAGCGCTGTAAAAACCTTACTAAAAAAAAAAAGCACTGGCATTGCTGATTTTCATCTAATTTAGATCTATCTCTAGAAGGACTGATCCTAATTTGTGAAGAACTTTGGGGACTCAAGAATGCCCCTCCCTCAGTCTGCACTAAGACCCCCTTCTCTGCAGGGTAACACGATGGTTGCTGATTTGACAACCTCCCCATAATATTTTGATAATATTTAATTCAAGAAACAGCTGAACCAGCTCTTACTGCCACCTGTATAAGCCAATCACCTGTACAAATGGCCACTTTCCATTTCATCCCTTGCGTATTTTTTACATCTTAATGACACTGTGTAAGACGGCCATCTGATTTGTTTGCTACTGCTTATTTTAACCATCTTTCTGTTGAAATATTCTGTAGGATATCTTGTACAATGATGATGATGACATCAATGAGATGGCCGATCCTGCAGAAAAGATGGAAGAACTATTGAGGAGGTATGCTTTGTAATTATTTTTTAAATGCCTTGTCTTTAATTCCCACAAACTAGACTATAACCTTTAGTTGCTATTGGTTAGCAGGGGTTTTGATGAGGTCTGCTCCTACTATTTTTGTTCAGTGCTACTGTTTTCCTAAACTATTCCTGGCAAAATGTTATCATCTCTGCTAAGTCAGGGTTAATTACATCTAAGCAATGTGGCAGTACGTTTTTTGCTAACGGCTTGCTTTTGCGATTCTGTTCTTTATAATGGATGAGGCATAGAAAAGGTTGGGGGCCTGTTGTGTCAAAGGATATGAGGATGTTTTAACCGGAGTGCCTCCAACTTTTGTAGTGTAATTTCTGACTAATTGTGATACAGTAGTGAATTCGGACATGTATTGCCAGCTCTGCCCATGAAAGTTGAAACTACTTGCGTGCTGTTGTAGAGTTAAATAGAAATTTGATAATTTCTGTGTCACAATAATTGTGACCACAATGGATTGTAAAATTGCAGAAAATTTGGGTCTGTTCTCAGGCAACCTATGTTTTTTGTTTTCCTTTCAGAGTACGATCCAAAGATCACAAGAAAAGAGCCAATCGACGAATTCCTTTCAGCCTTGGAGAAGGACTCAACTTTTCAGTTGGCGTGTAATAAACTTCTTTGCTCATTTACATTTACATATGCATGGGTTATTTTGCATATGAAATATATACAGGAAAAGCCTTAAGTCGAAGATGCCGAACTCATATGCCTAAGTCTGTTGTTTCAATGCATGTCTCCCCACGAGAGGTCTTTTAAAAAGAATTTATCTTTGTTCTCTCAACCGCTAATTGATTCTTGTCAGCCTTCAGGGACAGATGTTTGAGATTGCAGTATTGTATTTCAGAGACTCAGATTGTAATTTAAAACGAGTAAGCATGGTGCTAAGTCTTATTACCGCTGAAAGGGAGAAGATAAACCATCCTTTTAACTATAATTGAATTACACTAACGCTGGTACAGTTGAACCTTCCTCTATGGCCACTAATTCAAGAGAATCGCCTGTACAAATGACCACTTCTCACTTTTCCCCTTATGTTTGTTCTTCATTATAATGACACTAGGATGTTTACCTGTATAAGACAACCACTTTTCTCTACGACAATGAATGATGGTCATGAGCAATTTCGACTGTAATTACTACAGTTAACAATCTCACGAGAAAATTGTTCACAGCTGACTTAACTCACTGAGCCCTGACTCCCAGCAACCTAATGACAATTGTAGCTGTGGACGGTTTTCGCCATTTTCAAAAAGTATGAATAAGTACAAATTAAGGTATAAAAATAAAATTTTGTAAGGCAGTAGGATAAAGCTTCTTGTTTTAAACAAACAAAACTTTGTTTATGTATATTGACTGTGATGTTTGTTATAAGCATTCGAAAACAGTGAGGAAGCAGACAATTTGAGTATGAAAATAAAAGCCATTTAAGGTATTTATCATGCAGTCAAAACACAGCATTATGTGCTTTTACAAATAGTAAATTTGACGGAGAAAGTGAAGAACTATTTACATGAGCCATGCAGAAGAAAAAATACAAACTGACTGGCTAAATTTGACATTTGCAATATAATAAGGGCACATTTAATGAAAGGTATGCCTGGCATGACAATAATTGTGTGCACAATGTCAAGCACCCTCGACAACTAAGCAAAATAAATGTTAGAAATGAAAGATTGTATTTTTCTGAGACTATAAGTATTATTCAGGGCTGCCTGAATCTACCGATTTTTCCGGTAGATACCAATTTTTGGCCTGTTCTACCGCCATACCGATAAGGTGTCAAAACTACCGGATTTGCAATGGGTGCTGAAAGGAGGGAAAAAAACCTCCATTCTGCAGTGCTTCCATTCTTCTATGTTTTGCAGAAATCTGTACATTCCGAAAGTTCCGTACTTGCTGCGTCATCATATCCCCTCCATGAGTTAGAGAGTGAGAGAGAGAGATCAGCATTTGTCTCCGTAACTTGTCAGATATTTACAGCAACTGCCCGCCATAAGTTGTATTAGAAACTGCCAGATTGTGCCTTTCGTACTCTCGACCATTGTCTTATCTGTGCCGTTCGGTCTGCAATAGTTTTTCATGTGCATATTGGCTAAAATCTGTCTACTCACGATAGATAATCTTTCTCTTTCCTTTCATTCATTCTTTCTTTATGTCTATCTTCGGGTTTTTGCTGCCGCTGGAAAATTTGTGCATTTAATTCATTTATCTAGAAACTGAATTGTGAATGTAGAAAGAAAATCGATATTGAAGCAAAACATTCTAAAATATGTCTTGATCTAGAGAATTGGTCAGTACCAAATGAGGATTCTCTACGCAGGGGGACTGCGGGAATCTAAAAAAAAATCGCTGAGACGCGAGAAAATGCACAAAGTCCTCTAAACCAAATCTGAGTTCATATTTTACTAGTCGCGTTTGTGATATTACATTGGGCTTTCCCCGGTCAGAGAGTACGTTTCACGTGAATTAGTGGCTATGGCGGCAGGCAGAAGTGTAGGTATGATACTGAGACTCCATCGGGAAAATCAAAATCTACTTTCGCTTTCGTTACCGCTCAGAATTGTCCGATGATAGTTTGTTAACGTTAGATTTACAGTTAATAAAAATTTGTAACATGCAGTTTGTGCATTAAAAAAATAATGTCGCCATACAAATTAAATAGATATTCTCACTGATGTCACTATAATGACAAAAAAAGGAAGAAAAAGAAAACAAGCTTCCTCCGATATCTAGATTGTCGGGCCCGTCATCGTGACTGGTCAGTGAACCTGTGCGAGTTTGCATCGTGTGAGTACGGCATGAGTAAGGGGCCGGCCGACGGTTGCTGGGGTAATCAAAGTTCATTCAAAGGTTGCAGGGCTTCGGAATGAGGGTAGGTGTTTGACACAATAAAGTCTATGGCAGTAGGATAAGGCCTCGTTGCAAGAAACTGATGCTAAAATAAAAACAATAAGTGGAATTGATTTTGACTTTCGACAATCGAGTGCGTAAATGAGGGAACATTAGAGCACAGGCTTGATGATTGTATCTTCAAGGTTGGTGTTCTCGGATTTGTCAGTTATTATTAATTAACTGAAAGGTAGGCTTTGACCAGACCAGGCTCCTAATCTTTTTGAATATTTTCTTCAAAACATAGATCTGGATCTAATCTGTCTAAATTCTTATCAATCTTATTCTTACCAGTGAATAGAAAGAAGGGTTCCTTTGGAGGCTTTCGTAGTGTACTGATAGACACACCAGTGTTGCTTTCTCCTTTCTGGCCTCATTTTCTTCAGTCTCCTACTTCCAGACTAATCAGACGTTTGTTGGTGATGAATTTACTGTGAGAAAGTCTCTAAGGCTGTAAGACGTTAATCCAGAAAGGGACTAGACTAGAGATTTCACATGCTTGCACTTTCAAGAGAATCTCTTTGGATTAAAACACGTTAGAATCTAATAAAAACACTTTTCTTAATAAGAGCAGAGACACGCCCACTCACATGTGTAAACAAACTTCTTTGCAAATACGAAATGGCCGCCAACCAATTCAAAAGTTTCTGTGTCACTTGACCTCGTAGAGATTCTAGTTTAGAAAGAAGATAAATCTATGTGTCATCCCTATTATGTTACAGGGCTTCTTTTTAACTGAAGTCTTCTCTGTCACATTTTCCAAATTTTTGTTTTGGTTTCAAGCTTATAGAGCATAGAATATGTCTTTTCTAAAGCATAGCTTTTGGTTTGCTGGCAGGAGGAAGGGTACAGTGGAATTTAGTGTACTAGGAAGGTTAAAAATTTTGGACCCCTTGGACTCGCATCTTGCCCCTACAGATGTTGGCCAAGTTTTTACATGACGACAGCTCTGCCTCATTCATTGTGTTATGAGAACTGGTAGCAATCTGAAAGGAAGCACGTTTAATTTTGGCTTTATATTATATTTCATTTCTGTATTTTAATCACACAGAGAACAGAACCAGCCATGTGATTTTTAAAAATTTGTACTGTTACAGAATGTTTGAGGACAAGACTATGTTTAAAAATAGTAGTTGATTATTTGGTTAATTAGATAATAACACTTATTTTTAGTCTTTATATAATACTAGTTAGTATTGGATGACTGTTAGAAGAGATCCCATTTGGCATATGATTTATCCAAATTTTTTTTTGGGTCTTTTTTTGCAGATACAATCTTGTCCGTTCATGCCCTAAACCGTACGCTGTCAAACTGACCAAAAAAGAAAACGCTGAGTTAAAGAGCCATACAAAGACGTATCTACCGGTACGTATCCTCTTTTTTTCTTCTGATTTAAAATTACCGTAAAGACAATGTTTTTTTCTTATTTTTGGTGACTTATTTTTACATCAAGAAGATCATAAGAGAAAACTTATGTTTCACAACATAGTGGAATCAGGTGCTCGTCATTTTTTTTGGTACTTGGAGCTATTGGTAGCACCATAAAATTTGTTAATAAATATTGCTCTTCATGAAAAACTATTCATCTATCTTGAATAGAAGTTCAGATATTTGCGATTGGAGGAAGTGGGAATCGCCTATTGTCAGACTTAAAATTTGCTAAAAAAATGGCCAACAAAGTGTGCTGTCTTCCAAATCTTGTATGTCCTGAGAAACTGCAAGTTTTAATTTTTTTAATGCCTTTTTTCAGCGTTTTTCAGTAAAACCCATAGTGAAATGTGTTTTAAAAAGGTGTTGAGCAAGATTTCACGACGATGACACACATGTGTAAAAGATAAGGAAATGAAAGTGGGTCTCTTTTCTTGTTGGATCAATTGCTCTGTAGATTTCAGTTCCCAGGCCAATATTGCTCACTCTCAAGCTAATGGGAGTATCGATTGAATGAATGTTTCAGGATACAGGAGAAGTGCTCATGCCTCAAGATCTGAAGAAAGCTCAGACTTATGGTGGCAGAAAAATTTGTTTTGAGAATGATGAAGTTACAGAGATAAAGCGTTTTGATACCCCAGGTAAGCTTTTATTGTAAGTTGAAATGGAAGTTTCTAATGTTAAACTCAGAGCTGGTTCTCCGGTACTTGTACTTACGTACAATTTTCGGTACTTTTACTGTATTCCGGTACATTTTGAGAATCAGTAGGCCTACTTTTACTGTACTCCGATACTTTTTATAAAAGTACTTTTGAGTATTTTTAAAGTATATTTTGAGTACTTTTGGAGCTTAATGAAAGGGTAAGTGCCTGCATTTCTGATCATAATTTAGGGAACAAAAACGCGGGCGGGCACAGCCGATCAACCAAGAGTTAAAACTTGAGATCAAAGAACGGCCCGTCGCGTCAAAGATCAACCACTCTCGTGAATGTGATCACAAGCGTTGTAAAACTCCATGAAACGGTACAATGTTTGCCCCAGACGGGATCACAAAGAGGTGTGAACTGACCAATGCGTTTCTTTTCCCCAACCATCGCACTCGCATCTGAGCTCGCCAACTAAACTTACATCACTCGCTGGGTGGGTGGGCCTACAAGTTCGCTCCAGGCGGGATCACATCAAACTGTGAACTCTTCCCTGACCATTGAAGGTAGTTTTTCTCTATTCCCGAATTAGCGAGACAGCCTGAATTTTAATTGGTGTGGTCACAACGTAATGGTGCGTAATGACAAAGACGGGGGGACTCAATCAGAGATGGAAGGCTAAAATATTTGGACAGGTAAAGGGGAGGGGCAACTGGATAAACACTGATAAAGATCTCGAGACTCACAATAGGCTAATATGGCATGCCTCATGCCACCATGCAACTGTGATTGGCCATCAAGGTTGACCACTCTTTGCTCGCCAAATGTCATAAACCCACCCAGGGGTCACGTCAGTTCATGGGTCACTGTAGATTTTTCTTTGGCTTCGTCGGCTAAGATCCCGTATTTCCCTTGCTCCCGAGCACTGGGGTCTTAGGCGGAGACTACTGTAGTAGATAATCTTTGGTTACACTACACTTACTAGACTCTAGGAAACTACATGTATTTTGGTTTGCCATGGGCGCCGTGGACTGCACAGTGTGACCAAAATCTGTCTTACCACTATTATAATCAATTGATACTGAAACTGAGTTCTCAATGAGTATCTAACAATTTTTTAGGCTATCTAAATTTCTTTTTAACTTTTTTTGTGGTTTATGCTTAAGGCTACCTTGATTCCTGGAGGATTTGTTCATGAAGAATTCAAGGCACTTTTCCATTTCTTTGCTGGCCATTTTCATCAATTCTATGTTTTTTTAAGAGCAACTTTGTCTCTACATTTTCCAATGTGGATACTTTTCCTACTTTCTGACCTCTTGGACTGACTAACATTTGATCAAATTGTCTTGCTCAAACAAGTTGTATTCATAATATCACTTACTCACAAGTTGCTTCTTTTTGTTTGTTGGGGTTTTTTTTCAGTTTCACGGACCTTTTCCACCTACGTTCAGTGCGAATATTCAAATGCTTTGTATATTGTTTATGTTTTTAGTAATAAATGGCCTAATTTGTCAAATACACTGGATATGTTATTCAATATGATGTTTTGCATTAGCACTTAAGTGTTTTAGCATATCAGCAAAAGTACTCAAAATGTACTCTTAAGTACTTTTTTAAAAAGTACTTGTACTCAAGTACATTTTACAGGAAAGTACTTTTACTGTACTTAAGTACATATTTTAGATTGTACTTAAATTTGTACTTAAGTACATTTTTAAAAGTACTTTAACAGCTCTGGTTAAACTGTTTGCTCATTTCTCTGTTTCGGCTTTGCTTGTTTGTGCTCAGGTGAAGGTGCATCGTGTAGACATGCTTGTGGTAGCCAGAAATATGACCAAAGTACTCTGCTCACACATTGAGGTGTATCAATATTTGCAAATGGATATTTTTAAATCAACTTAAAATTTACAAGTAATGTATACTTGCTTACTTTTGCTGTGGAGGCCAAGTGTACAGGCCGTTTAGTGTCAGGCGGTTCAGACTGCCTCTATACTCAGTACTTACTTGCCCCTAATAATAATGATCTCATCCCCCCCCCCATATGTTCTGTTCCTGTCTGTATGAGAAATAAGACAAAACTTGCAGAGCTAAAAACATATGGTTATTGTGATTGAGAAGTCAGCTCACCTCTTGCAAAGTTAAAACTCACTTTTAGTTTCTTTTCTATCAGCTGGGTTCTGTTTCAGCCTTTAGAGGAATATAATGAAGCATATCAATGTTTATACTTTCACAAAAAGGTCTTTTAATTAAAACATTTTTTTTTCTTCACGCGTGGGGAATTTCAGATACAGGAGTATGATTAATCTCATAAAAAAACAACTATGAAATGTATTCTCTTGTTTATTCTTTCTCAGGATTTACCCTGATGGGTTTCAAGCCTAGATCTTCGCTGAAGAAATACTTTCATGTGAAGCCAGCCCAATTCATCTACCCTGATGAAATGGTAAAACAAATTTTGCTTAGCATTGGGAAACTATTGATTACCATTGATGTCTTATCTTTTGGCTCCCTTTTGCCTCATTACTAAAGAAAAATATCTGGGATTGTACTCAGATGGAAGCCAGGTGCTCAGTGGTACTCATTGGTGAAAAGAGACTGTTACCTTGAAGCATGATTGAAATGATTCTCTGTTATACTGATGTTCAGTTGTGTCTAAACTGGTAACACATAAGACTCGTTTAGGAATCTTGAGATTATCTAACGGTGTTGTTTTATTTCCTTTGTTTCCAGGGGGAGGGGGTGGGGGAGAGGGGAAAGGGGGGGTTGACACATGTCAGATTCTTTACTTAAATTCTCTGGCAGCAGTTGTCTTGTCTTGTTACCTTTCTGAATTTCTATTGACTAATTCAACAGCTACGGCTCATTCGGTCAAACTATGTTCTGAATTCTTTAAATTGAATCTTGAGCAGACAGAATTTCACACTTAAGCTTGACAATATTGTTTCCATCAGTTATGATATCAAGTTTTAAATGCATTTTATACTTTTTTAAATTTCATTACAGAAAGTGACAGGCAGCACTCAAGCATTCTCAGCGCTTCTGAAAAAATGCCTTGAGCGTGATGTGACGCCTATTTGCAAGTACATCCCTAGCCGAAACCTCCCACCCAAGTTTGTCACGCTTTTGCCACAGGCAGGTTTTTAAAAATCATTAACTCTTCAGTTGTTGGTTTGAATTGTTTCAATGATTCGATAATACACATAGCTGCTACTTTTCCGCTAAATAGCGGAAACTCCGCAAATAGCGGAAACTCCGCTTCATCTTGCTTTTCCTGCTACTTTCCTCCTTCCTCCACTGGACCGCTCTCGGTCGCAAATTGCGCTACTTTTTTTACACGCGGAAAACACCGAACCGGGAGATAAATGAAAACGCAGCTTGCGCATGTCCGCCCGTAGCTTTGTACTTCCGTTCTTCTGTGCCTAGCGCTAGTTTCACATTTTTTATTGTGGAGCAATAGTGTCGATCGAGCTTCAGGATGTTGGCATGCCGAGTTGTCATTGAAAACCGGCGGGAATTCGAGTGAAATTGATGCAGAATGCAAAAATATAAGGAGCTGGAATGAGAAAGAAGCTGACGGTGTACGACTTGAAAAGTTCATTAGATTTGAACAAGCCGCTTGCTGCACTTTGCGTTTGGTACGATAAAGAAATCGCTCAGTACAGTGGCAAAGGTGTTGCCTCCTTGATCCAATACTGCTCTACATTGATACACCAGTTTAAAGTGAAAGAAATTTTTATGAGACACCAGCTGGCAACAAAGACTGGTTTTTTAGTCACCAAACTGTGTCAAATACTTGTTAGTCAACTTAATGTTTTGGGGGGTTTTTTTCGTTGGTTTTTTTTTCAAATACATTTTACTTCAGTAGCCTGTGGTTAACAAATATGACAGTTTTCCCTTCCTAAAGCACAGGCTAAATATTCCGATATATTGCCTCTGGTTCTCACTGGCTTTACTCCGGCTTTCGGAGAGCAGGTGTACGCCTTCGCATGAATTTCCTCTTTTTTTAAAACTCCTGAGTGGCAGCTATGAATACAGTATAGAAAGTTGTTGTAAATACATTGTACTGCTTAAATGAAACATAAAAACTATGATGCTTGCTTTGAATAGATGAATGTTTACTTTTTTTTTTATATGCAGTCTAACCTGTCAAAGAAAACGGAATAGGAATCTTAAGGGAGCCCAAAAAAATATTCTGTCACACATTTTTTGTCTTGGACAGGGAAATTTAGGGGGGGGGGGGTTCTAGAGGGCAAGCCCATACGCGATGTAATCAAAGATCGCCTGTCTGGTCGGTAAGTAGTGGTCAATACTTTACCCAAATGCTATCCTAACCTCTCTGATAATGGTATGACTTTTAAAAAAACTATAATTTGTAAAAAAAATTTGGTTTATACATCCTTGAGCTGAATAATAGTTCATCTGTTAAAACGTTTTGCTGTCTTAGGATTTATATGCTGTTTTTGAAAGTCAAAAACCTGCAGACTGCTGAGATTTTAAAGAAAATTGTGAGTAGAGTTGTGCCCATGTCATTCTACTCTTCAACATTCACGAATTTTGCACTATTCACAGGTATATAAGGCATGGCATAGCCATTCGAATACCATGTGATATTTTTGGTTAACAGATTTCCGTCTCATTTTTCTCAGCTTCTTGTAAAATTAGAGTGCTTTGTATGTAAAATATTTGAGTAAAATACAGTAGTCTCCGCCTAAACGTACCGTGCTCGGAAAGGCCCCTAAAGCATGTGTTTATACGGAGCGTGCGTTTACATGAACCTGTGCAAAGGGAGGAAGGGACATTGTCGCCTCAATTCCTTGATATTCTAGTGACCTCCCTTGGGGGTGGGGGTCACTATTTTGTGAAGGATTTTGCAACTGCGGTTAAGAATACAAAGGCCTTGCATGGGTTTTTTTTTTTAGGGGGTGGGGGGGGCAGAGAGAGAGATAGACTGATTGTAATGATATGCACCATAAAGTGTTGAGAACAGACAACCTAAGAGTAAACTGTTGGTGATAGTGGTAGAGACATCGGCCGAGCCTCGTGGCTTTCCAAGCGACTACCCCCGTCCGTAAATTTATTGACGACATCAAAATCATAGATCTGTACTTTCCGAGAAACTTTTCTCTTGTGATTCGTTGAACAAGTACGTTATAAGTTCTTCGAGCACAGCTGATTAGGCTTACTTGACTAATCTTTAATCCTAGTATTTTACAGCATTTACGCGTGTTGCGCATCATAGGCCTCGGTCTAACTACACATAACCTATGCAGTCACCCAAACACCAGTGAGAAAACTTCTCTCTCAAAGATGCATTTCCACCGACCAATCAAAAAATATTTTCAGGCCCCCCCCCCCCCCCTCGTATCAGTCAAAAGTAGGGTGTGAAAACGCTGTCTATCACTCTCTTTGTTCAGCGTGAGGGGCAGTCTCATCAAATATCCAATTTTCTAGGCTTGTCTTATGCAAGCTGTGCCGGTGGTAGTGAAAATTTCCTGTTGTCAAGCTTTGCCTGTCGACGTGTTTCGCGGATCGGAGTGTGCGTTTAGAGGGAGTGTTTGTGCGTTTGTATGTCTAAATTATAAAGTAAAAAACCCGTCATATGACGGAAGCATGCGTTTGAGCAGAGTGTGCTTTTGTATGGCGTGTGTTTAGGCAGAGACTACAGAACATGTTAACAGCAATACATTGTAGTTGATGATTACAAGGCAGAATGAGAAGTGAAACCAACATGAGTTATAAAACATGCTTCTAAGAAGTATTTACTACCATTCAATATTCACGTGTCACACCATGAACAGCTCAAAGGACTATTGCATGAAACACATCGGATAGTTTTGCGTAGGCTGGTGCAATGAGCTCTCCTTACCCCCATTAAAAATTTAAAGAATTATGAATGTTGATGTGACTTCGTCAAATCGCAGCTAACAGCGCGGGGTTTGGAAGCCTACGATTATGTTTTGAAAAAAGAAATGGTGTCAGCTGCTTCACTCGGGATATCTATTAGGTCAGTATGTTTGGTGGGTGGGTGTAGGGGGGGGGGGAGGCTGGGATGAATGTACACACGTTTGCCTCTTTTTATTATTTTCCTCTCCCCTTCTCTCTGTCGTTGTTGTCTGTTTCTTGGAGCAATTTTCCAGCGCCATCCACACTGTGCAAGCCAGTGCCGCAATACATTATGAAACAGATACACCCTGAGCTGAGAATCACTGGATGAATAGCGCTGCGAGTAATGAATATTGAATAGTCTTGCGATTTCTGCTAGATATATCTTTTTTAAAACCCATTTGCACCTGGCATATAAATAGTACAAAATTATGACTTCATGCTGCGAAGTGTCCTTAAAGTTTCGTTTCCACTAAATGGCACATCTTGTAAGATCAAGAAATGAATGTATATCACACAGTATCACTTTTCGCCTGATTCTGTTACTTTTAGTTAGCGTGACTCAGCAGCCCGCCGGAGCTCCCCAGCTCAGGGTCACGGGGTTAATGAGCCCTGAAGCTACTTTGCTGGTGTCAGTAAAAAAGTCGCAATTTTGTCTCATTTGAAATGATATAACTCTTTCCCCATCCCACACAGCAAACCATTACTCTGATGTACTAAAAGCTCAATGACTTGAGATTTATTCTGCGTTAGAATGGTTAATTTCTGTGCCTTAGTTTTTGTTCTAGACAAGTTTGTAGAGTGCCCAATTTGTCCTATTTTAGTTACAAACTTATGAATAAATGATTGTTTATTTTAAAATGGCACAACAGATCTCTCCAAAATCTGTGTTAAACTGACTACGAAATCATGTCTTTTACCATAAGAAATCTTATATCTGCGCAAGTAGTTATTGTCAAGTTATAAGAGAAGAAAGATGCACATCTGCATTTTTTAACTAAAGACTCTCAGCGTTAGCTCTTGTTTTACCATTTAACAAGAGAAAGTTACTCTGCTTTTGTTAATTAATCATGCTTTGTCTGTGGCTCCCTACCTCCAACTAAGAAAGATATATTATGCGATTTTTAGAAAATACAAAACTGTGTAAATACATAGGTAGAGATAAACTTCTCGTATGGAATAAAAATAATGAGAGCGAATAGTTTTTGTGTCGGAAATATGCGCGGACACTTATGAATGTAAAGAAATCAGAACATTGTCAGTTATTGCAAATGGTCATAGAAACGAAAATAAAAACTGGGAAAGTTTGGTGCTGATTCAGTGTTACTGGAAAGCTAGAAATTATTGTTATAACTCAATTATGAGAAGTCATCCCTGTTATTCAATCAACTTGCAAAACCTAGACTTAGCGTTGTAAGAAAAGTAAGGAATTTCTGGAGTGTAACACGAACAGATACTGTTCGTGTATTGCATTGTAGATCTATTCTGACACTAAAATAAATTTTTATTACTTCATAGAGAGATTACAGGGTAGTTTTTATAAACTTTTGAGAAAATAAACGAATATTCTCGACTATATTGGACACATAAAGTTGTATTTGGACGAATTACTTCTTAGCGAATTGTGGACCAGATGGATAAAGTTGCAAAATTACAGGCTTTCTATTATATGCGCAGATACAATCTTTTCTAATTATCTGCACCAATGATATGTCGTTCATGTTCCAAAAGTTAGACAGTTTTTGTTTGTGCCGTTTTGTTTATATTGACTTTTTTTTCGTTCACACTTGTTCAAAAAATTTTACAATTTAGCATTGCCGACTTCAGCGCATCTAACGAAATAACCAGAGAAGTTACAAAGTCCTTTCTTTTTTGAGCTTCAAGAGTAGAAATGCGTGCTTTGGTTGCATAAAATGATAATTACCATAAATACAAGGGTACACCTAAAACTGTACATTGAAAAGTACCAAAAATTAAGTCAGCCCAGACAGAGCGGCGACAGGGAGCTGACCCCCATGACCCCGACGGGATAAGGGGCTTGGCGGGGAACCCCCGGCTGCAACAAAAATTTCACTGCTGTTGCGCCTTGATCATGCCATCCATATGTTCCTTACACTGGTTCATTTGTGATTTTTTTTTTTCAGGCTGAAGAACTGGATGAGCACAAGGTGCAAGTAACTCCGCCTGGGTTTCACGTCATATTTTTGCCGTGTGCTGACGATTTCAGAAGAGTTAATTACGTGGAGAAGCCAAGAGGTGTGTGAGTTGGATGCAGTGTCTTTGGGGAATAGCTTTTTACTGAACTCATCCTTACTCTTCGCAGATGCACATTGTGTACCTACCCTCTGTGGGGGTTGAACGTATGGCAGACAAAAGTGCTGTCCAGAGAAGCTCTCATATTGTCTTCTTCCCTTCGTACTGTGGTAATTAGGATATGCTTCCATCTCTTTGTGTTATGTAGACCTTCTGTGAACATTTACTGCCTGTCAACATCATCATCACATTCATTATTTTCATCATTACCACCATCATCATCATCTTTTCCATCATAACCATCATCACCATCATCATCATCGTCATCATTTCCATCTTCATCAATGCCATCAATCTTGTGGTCATGTCTGCCTCTGGGTTGCCAGGGATGACTTTTCATCAATCACATTCCACTCCTTTCATTTGTCAGATTTACTCATCATAGCCCCATATATGTGTGTGTGCCTGAAGAAAGGTATCAAAAGTCGGATTTTGACCATTTTGAGTTAAAGGTTGTACCTTACTGGAAATTCAATGCTGAACACAGGGGTGTTTAATTTTGTAGATATCCCAAGTAGTTTTTGAGATATATACATTTTGCAAGGTAGGGTATAAAAATGTAATTTTGAGAAAATGAGCTTTTTTAGTTCAACAAACGTGAGAACACATACAGACTTTAAAAAAAAGAAAGATTTTTAACATGTTTTTATTCATGGAAAATTCATTTCCAATTTGGCATTCAGTTGACATCAATATCATGAATGGAATTCAATGGTAAAACTTAGCAGGGAAGAGAAAATGTGCTTCAAGAATAGATTTTAGCATTTTTTTAAAGCAGTTTTCATTATGTTTTTTTTATACCCTACCCTCAAAATAATTCAAAATAAAATATTTAGAAGTCAAATCAATGAAAACCCTTTGAGCACAGTGTAAAAAAATTGTGGATCTATCTTTTTTTATGGAGATACATTTTGGTCAAAAAAAAGATTTTTGTCATTATCAGCCTGTAGCTCGAAACGGTATGGGGCGACTTTTGGTACCTTTCTCAAGGCGCACCCGCATATTTTCAGGCTCATTCACTTTATTATATACTCTTGTCTCCTTGTTCTGTGCAGTACATGACAGTCTTTGCTAGTGGATGTGTACTCCTCTAACTGCCTCGAAAATGAATTTACCCCCCGGGGCAGTGCCACTGACTGTTGTGTCTTTAGGCCACTCCCAAAGGGGGGACATTTCTCGTTCAAGCATAGTGGAATTGTAAATGGGCTGACTCATGTCACGCTCATAACTGTGCCTGATCTACAACAGGGAACTGCTGCTTTTTCTTTCCTGATCCTTACTATTGTCATTTTCCTCTACTTCTTTTGTGTGTTTGTCACTCTCTTGTGACCTGCTATTTCCGGGGTGCCTTAATAGTTGAAGCAGACCTTATGCTGTTGAAGCTAGAGAGGTGAGCAGTGTAAGTCTGATTCCCTGTAAAGACTTCTCTGTTGACACCCACCCCTTGGCGCTCATATGACCTTATGCAGTTGCGAGCGCCGTAAAACCCTCTACTATAAAAAAAAATGAAATATATAAAATGAATTTTTCTTTTTGAGAAGTTAGTGAATTTACTCATGTCATGTAAACATTTTGGATTCACTTCTAATTGTGAACTGGATCACTGCATCACTGCATCCAGAGCTGGCTGAGCTGCAGCAGTCTGCCGTCTCACTAGGACAATTCCCCCACTGGTGGGGTGTCATTGTGTCATTCATACAGCGCAACTTTTCTCCTGTCCTCAGGGTATCTGTTTTCTTTTCCGTCTGCACAGTCCTTGCATTCTCCTGCAGAGCTCTCTCTTGTGTTAACTGTCTGTTGTTAACTCAGGGTCTTGTCAGGCTAAAAGTAGACTCTTCCCTTTCTCTTTATTTTCTCTACCTTTCCCCTTCCCCATATTTGAATCATTGTCTTTTTGTTTTAAGTGGGTGTAACATTTTTACAAAAGTAAACAGGATAACTTGTTTTCTTGTATGTTAATATTAGTATATAACTATGAGTAGATGAACATGACACCGTAGACGCTGTTTTATCCTTTTAATAGTGGGTGTTTGTTATTAGGCTGAATCCCTATTTTATTTCACTCCAATATACAGTAAGGCATATGAAAACAAAACAGAATATATCCTCTCCACCCTCCTCTGCGGGTGTTTGGAACTACAGTTAAACCTGTGTAAGACGGCCACTCATTGTCAAGGAGAAAAGTGGCCGTATAAGACAGGTGGCCGTCTTAGGCAGGACTGATCAAGATGAAGAAAACAAACCCCATTCCCAATCGAAAGTAGCCGCATTATTGTTGTTTTTGTTGTTGTTGGTTTGTATTTTGTTTGTTATTTTTATTTTGTTGCTAATTTTGTGCAAGGGTGACAATAAAACGAAATGTGTCAGACTAGGAGGACAGAGTGCTATGGTAAAACAAACATATGGGTCGCCACCATTCGAAGAACGAGCGACGCTTCTGTCACAACTCCATGTTGACTTCCATTGTTACTTTGTTACACTAGTTACAGACTGGGTAAACAGTGACCACTTATCTCATTTACGATTTGTGTATGAGTTCTGGGCAGGGCTTATGGGTTATGAGGGATCACACGCTTCCCTCACCAGCAGCATGAAATTGGTACCAATTGGTCAACAGTGGGAGGGGCCTACGCAACATGATCGGTTGGAGGGACTACCTAACAACAACGAAAGGTGATTAGATTATGACGGCTCGCTCACAACGCCAGGGGTCAATGCACAATTAATGACAAAACGTAATGGTGTCACAAAGGTGGCCGTCTAAGACAGATGTTATTGCTTAGTGGGATAGGGGTTGTGTGTTAAAATATGGTGGCCGCTTTGGACAGGTGCCCGTTTTACACAGTGAAATTATATAGAAAAAAACGCAAAGGGGGAAATGGAAAGTGGCCGTTTGTACAGGTGGCCGTCTTATAGAGGTGGCCGTCAGGGCAGGTTCAACTGTATATAATAGCATATGCAAAATTGATATTTTAGCAATTCTCCAACGTAAGTTCTGCTTCAGGGCTTTTTTTTTTATCCCATGCGTATCAAACTTTTCAAAGAGAGAATTGGTATAGAGAATGGTGCTTCCACAATTAAAAAATAAACAAACAGATGTTGTTTAACACCTTGACTGCTAACCATTTATGCACCCCACATGCTAAAGAAAATTCTACAGTGCGCAAGATGTCACAGTTCACAATCTTTAATTGACAATTGTTCGCTTGTTATAAGAGACAGATCAGTAAAACTTATACCAATAGAAAGATAAATGATGAGATGAATTCATCCATTGATAAGACCTGCATAGAACATGCCATAATAATGTAAACATCTTGAAAGAACTAAGACTGAACAAGCGCTCCGATTCTACCCATTGGCTGTCTCGCATGATGTGTGTGACAAAGGCTACACACATTGCTTTGTTACATCAGTGACAAAGCTTGCGCTTCTCATTGAATTATGTAGCCTATAAGTAGGAAGACAAATGAAGAAATGGTTTTATCCATAGCAAAAATTTTGACATAACAAGCTATAACAATGTGAACAAGTGTAAAGAACTGAGATAAGCGTTCCAAGTCTATGGGTCGGGTCTGACCACCTCGCACGATTTGTGTAAGAAAAACAACACACCCCATTTTGTTTTTGTGTTGTATAACCCGCCCTTTCAGTCAAATAGTCTATATATAGATATGACCAAATAGCTAAAACGATAAGCATTCAAGGGATGCCATTCTTTATTCAAAACTTAGTAGAAGCTAAAATATCAACGAAACGATGTACAGGTTTGAGCCGCTGATTCTTTTACACAGCACTGGGCGACGGATTATCGGTCCATATGAGATACATCTACTCAGCAGTCAAGGGGTTAATAAAGGAAATCTACCAAGGCTCTCAGGTTTTTCAAATAATGTCAACAGTTTTCAAAAGTGCAATGTTTTTTGTGTTTAGTTTTGTTGCATTGTAATGTGGTTGTCTTCTAAAAAGTTATAGTGGGAATACCAAATCTATTCAAGATTTATATTATGATGGTTTGCAAATTATTAAAAAAGGTCGAGTACCTTATAGAAAAATTTCCAATTGTGATTGCAATATGCAATATATCAAAGAGGTTAGAGTAACAGATCCCATAAAAACTAAAGGATGTCTTGATCAGGGATCTGGCAACTCCTTGTTCTTAGTGTCTAATTTCTAGTTAGTTTGCAGGATGACCAACAGTCTCTTTGTTCTTGCAGCCACTGCTGACCAGATTGACAAAGCCAAAGAAGTGATAAAAAAGTTGAAGTTCAAATTCAGCAGCGAGGATTTTGAGAATCCAGTACTGCAGAACCACTGGAGGAACATCGAAGCTTTGGCGCTGGAGAGAGATGAGGTGGAGGAGCCGGTCGATCACATCTGTGAGTTTGAATTCGATGTGTACTTAATATGTTTTCCTGCTCTGTCAGTGTCCACCTTCCTTTGAAGTCGATGCTGAAGAACTCTCTCCTTAACAGCACAAGGTTGTCTGTCTTAGTCAGCAAGACAAATAGAAACAAAACATGTTGGTAAACAAAACCTGTTTTGTGTTGAACTAAAAAATTGTTGGTCTCAGTAACTGTCAGAACTGTAAACTACCAGCAAAGATGGTTTTGAATACAAATCTATGATAAAAGATGATAAATAGCATATAGCACAAATTCATGCACAATAGTAAGCTGTATATGCGTGACTCAGTCTTACTTATCTTTGCTTTTTGGTGGATGGTTGGCAGGTGCTCTGGTGTGGTTTGCTCCTTCTTTCCTGTCAAAAATCTATTGTCATTATCTCTCCTCCTTTTCTTTGTATGATACTCTCCAGTAACAATATGACCTGTTTGTTTTGCAAGTGCCGTAAAATTTACTATAACTAAAAGAAAGGGTTTTTTTTGGCTTTTGTTTCCTTTTACTTTTCAAAGGCGCATCTTGCTTCTGTAGGCTGTCAACACTATTTGCCACTCTCTCCAATAGCATCGCCTGCTATTTATGCACTTTAACATAGAACTAGCTACCAGTACTGAGGAGAACATATTGTTTCCTTCTCATATTGAGATGTGTGCTTTTGCATAGAGCAGTCTGTACTCCTGCTTTTCAAAACGAATTCATCAATCCTAGAAAAGCATCCGACACATTTTAAATAGATACCTCTCGTTAACTTTATTGAAAATGTTTTGTATCAGTTCCTCAAATAGAAGTCTGAAGCACTTTATCATTATGTTGAAAGGGAAAGAAAAAAATTGTGCGTGTCATTATGTTGAAAAGGGAAAAAAATTGTACAAGGAAAGTCCTATGCGAGTTAGTTTTAAATGCCTCTCTTGTATTTTTGTATCTGTCTGTGTTTGGTGGATGTAGCCCTGCTGCAGATTAACACACACATCCCTCTTATCGTGCTTTCACCTCCTCTCATGTTGTTATGCAAGCTGAGCTATGCTGGCAACTGAATGGTGATTGGAATGTGCCCTCTGCAGTGTCTGTTATCAGAGGGTGAAAGGCACTGACGCTGGCTTCTGCAGTTTTGTTTTTTATTCTGGGATTTATGTAAGGAGCCTAGAGCTTTGCGCTCACAGAAGGAGGCGCTATAAAAATGATCAACATCATTATAATATTATTATTGTTATTATTATTATTTTATTATTAATATCATCATTATTATAATTAAAATTTATATTATCATTTATATTATTTATTATTATTATTATTATTGTTGTTGTTGTTATTATTATTACCCATTCAAATATTCCTCACAATTTATTTTGCCCATGATCTACTTGACTGTGTTTTCTGTACTTGCAGTGCCATCAGTTGAACTGTTTGCCGAACGTGCTGGTAAGGCATTGGATGAGTTCAAAGACATGGTGTTCCCCCCAGGATATGTGCCGGGACAAAAGAGACGGGTAAGTTTTCCCCTGTTTTTCTCAGTTTTGAAAATTCCAGTTTGTGAAAAGTGTTCCTGTAAGGAAGTGTTTATTGGGTCAATATTAATGAGTTATCTTTTACCATGCTAATTGTTTTTGAGCCTCTTTTTCCTCTTATTTGTTAGAGCAAAACACAATTCTTGTTAATGGGAAAAAGAACATGTGGAGTGCAATGTACATTTTTTTTGTGTGGAATGCTTTATCATACCCTTTGGGCTTGGTAATAAGTTTTTGATTTGAGCAGTTGGTAGAGACATGTTCATGATGCGTCTTATGTGCCTGTACTTTACTGGTACATGTATCAGCACTGAATAGGCTACACACCAGTATTAAAATTTGCAGGGAAAAGGGAAGACCCTCTGTTTCATGCTGGCAAAGGATGTCAATGAATAAATGCAGCTGTTCTGTTGTTGCTGCTGTGGGAATGTAGTTGGGTGCCACTGTAAACTGTGATAAAGTAACCTGAAAAGTTTGAAGTCGAATTTCGAACAGGGTCTGAGATTTTCACGACTTTCATGACAGCGTCCTGTTTGCAGCCTTTGTTTCCACATGTTATGTGTTACAGCTGATTGTAATATATTGTGACTGACAGGTTTCAGTGTTACTCCTGCACATTTTCCTTGATGTATGGAAAATGAGGCGGCAAGAAGTAGTTGTTCAACAAACCCTGTGACATTGTTATTTTTTTTAATACTACAGATAAGCACAGCAAACATGGCACTGTCTTCCTTTCCTCTCTGTAACCTGAGACCATCATACCAACTTCAATGGGAAAAAACCTTTGTTCCATTCAACTGCATGAATTAACAATAACAAAAATAATTCAAACAGGCCTAACTTAGCTATGTACAATAACGGTATTAAAGGTTGTAGTTTGCAAAAGTAATTGGTGTCCGTGGACATTAGTAGAGGTGACTGGCTATATTACTCCTGTCACTTCACTTTAGGAAAATGACTTCGCTGATTCCAATACATGGGTGCAACATTGTAATAAGTGTCCTGTGCTTTATTCCTGTGAAGTTGACAGTGAAATGAATCTGAGTACATAAAATACTGTGATCAGTATACCATATATACATATGTTTTTATTATTTTTAAATTTTTGTGTGTGGAGTGAAGGTTTTTCCCTATATAAGACTAAATGGAAGAGGATTCTGTGCCCATTGTTTTTTTAAAATAGATGTTACCCTAGAGGAGGTGATTAGGGCCATGAGATAGAACAATGACTACTCTGATCAAAATAAATGTGAGGCATCGTGGTGAAATCAGGCGCTCGTCATAATAATGAAATCAAGGAAATAGGCATCTTTTTGGCCGATGGGCAATTTTGGTCTAATTTTCTTTTTTTGGCTCAAACCCTTTTATGTTAATTTAAAAACACATTTCTGTGGATTCTACAGAAAAACATTGATGAAAGGCACAAAAAATGTAAATTTTCAATGTCCAAGGACTCTTAGGAAATTACAAAACTTTGGCAGCCATTTTCTCAGTAATTTTGCCTTTGAAACCAGGCAACCCTAACCTCCTTCAACCGCAAATATCTCGACTTCTATCCCTCAAAGATCAATATTGTATTCACCAAGAGGAAGGCAAATGAACAGGCTTTAAGATGATACCAATAACATCATATGACCGAAAATTAACGAGCGCCTGATTCTACCACGTCATGACACAAATGGAATGTTGAATTCTGGCAGAAAAACTGATTATGAACTGTATAAAACTTTGATCGTCCATTTATGTCTTTTGTTAGGCTCCGGCTGCGTCAACGGCAGCGAAGAAAGCCAAAGCAGAAGATGCTTTGGCTGGCCTGGATGTGAAGAAGGAAGCTGAGGCTGGAAGGGTGAGCTATGTTCCTTTCTTTTTTTTCCAAGGTTCCTTATTCCATACTCATTGCTAGTTGTAAAAAATATAGTGAATGGCATTGTTGATTAGTTAAAAGTTATTGCAAATTACATTAACAAAGAAATTGAAGTGGGTGGTTGGTGGGTGCTCTGGTGTGGTTTGCTCCTTCTTTCCTATCAAACAGCTATTGTCCTTATCTCCCCTCCTGCTTTTTTATCTTTGTTACTCTGTTGTAATACCTCTAATCTTCGGCACTTACATGACCTTATTGTGTTGCAAGTGCCGTAAAACGCTTACTAAAAAAAAGAAAAAAGAAATTGAAATATTTTCTGTGGCAAGAGTCAAGTCCATAAATGTCCGTTAAATGCATATTTACTTCTACTTTTGTCTTTCTCTGGTATGCTTAGGATGTCGAGGGGAAGGGCATGTTTCGGTCCTGTGCTAGGTGTATAGCGTCTGTGATAGATATGTTATGTTGTTCCAGGACCTTTTTAACACCATCCAGCCAGGTCTTTCTTGGTCTTCCTCTTGATTTGAAGCCGGCTTTAGCCACTAGTTGTTTCTGGGGCATTCTGGTTAGATGTCCAAAAAACCACTTGACTCTTTGACGCTCTATGAATTTTATTACTGGTGGTATTCCAGTTTGTAGACGTCTGGTTTTGGGTTTTTTGCGGTCTCTTCTTAGGATGTTGATGGTTTTGCAGAGACTCCTCATTTTGCATGCATTGATTTTTCTTTCTGGTGCCTTGTTTAGAGACCATGTTTGGCACTGGTATGTTAATGTTGGTATGTAGATGCCATTGATCAGCTGGGATTTCACTTCGGTTAGGATGTTCTTGTGACTGAGCAGGGGTGCTAGCTGGTAAGTCACTGCATTTGCCTTCATAGTTCTTGTTTCTATTTCTTTGTCCATACGCCCATCTTGTGTGAAGGTGCTTCCCGAATATTTAAATTCCTCTACTTGTTGGAGCTGTGTTCCATATAAAGTGCCATGATGTTCTCCAGCAATTGTCCTCTTACACCATATTTCTCTATGACTTCCCAAAGTTGACATCTATCTACCCGGTCAAATGCCTTTTCCTGATCCACAAAGACGATATTGAGGTCTTAGTCATGTGCAATGGCAGTCTCACTCAGTTGTCTTAATGCAAAAATAGTGTCAGTACAGCACCTGCCTTTTCTGAAGCCAAACTGGGATTCACTGAGTTGAGTCTCTACTATTAGTCTCATTCTCATTTCTAGTATCTTGGCAAACATTTCACCCACATGGCTGAGAAGGGATATTCCTCTTTAGATTCCACAGTCTCTTTTATTACCTTTCTTTTTCCAAATAGGTACAATGACAGCTCGTTGCCAGTCATCGGGTGTTGCGTTTGTCGCCCAGGCCAGATTAAATATCCTTCATAGCCAGAGTTCACCGATATGGCCGCATAGCTTGATCTCTTCTGCTGTGATGTTATCAACGCCTGACGCTTTGTTTGTTGGGATTTTATTTATAACATGTTGGGTTTCACTCTGCAGTATTGATGGTTCTAGAGTGGTTTCTTTTGGTGAGAAGCTGTTTGATGTTGTTTCTCCTGCAGGATTCAGCAGCTCCTGGAAATACCGTATCCATAAACAACAAAATTCAAAATGTCTAGTCTAGTGACAAATGCATGATTTTCATTTCTTTAACGATCTTTAGGAAGAGACATGCATTTTCGTAGAACACTTGAATTGATATGAAGGTCTTGAAAATCAGACGTAGAAAATCTAGAATTTAGATCAAGGGCCCGACTGCAAGGCTGAGAGTGAGAGTGACGGGTCAGACACCCGGATTGAACTAAAGTTACAACATTTCCAACAGTTTGCGCATACATTAAGTTATATTTTTCTGAAACTACATTCATCTTTCGTTTTAACTTCTATTTTTTCAGGATTTTTAGAATTTGTTTAGTATTTCTAAAATGTGTTTTTCAAAGGCTTGTATTCATGGGAGGTGGGTTCTTTCCCCTTGCATAGGATCTAACCATGGACTTCCCATCCAGGCCCTTAGGGTGTAAAGTGTTGAGTATAATCAAGCTGCCAAAGAAGGGAGACTTCAGCAATTGTAACAACTACAGAGGCATAACACTCCTGTCCATACCTGGGAAAGTCTTTAACAGAATACTCCTGGAGAGAATCGAGCTGGCAACAGACGAGAAACTCTGAGGAAACCAGGCAGGATTTCACAAAATTCGATCGCTACTCTGCGCGTCGTTGTTGAGCAATCGCTTGAATGGAATTCACCACTCGTGATCAACTTCATTGATTATGAAAAGTCATTTGACGGCGTGGACAGGGAAACTCTGTGGAGACTTGTGCAGCATTATGGAATACCTGACAAAATCGTCAAGCTTGTGAAGACCAGCTATGATGGAACAAACTGCCAAATCTTCCACGAAGGACAACTCTAAGAACCGTTCCAGGTACAAACAGGAGTGCGACAAGGATACTTGCTCTCACCTTTTCTCTTCATACTGGCAATTTACTGGGTCATGAAAGAAGCTACCAGAGGCAAGCGCAATGGAATACTGTGGATCCCTTGGCAGCAGCTTGATGACTTGGACTTCGCCGATGACCTTGCACTGCTCTCTCACACACATGCTCTGATGCAAGACAAGACCAAGGAGCTCAACACCTTATCATTCAAGGAATGTTGGTCTATGTATACATCCTGGCAAGTCAAAAGTAGTGAAGCTAGGAAAAGTTTCAAGCCCTGCTGTGACAGTGGAAGACACTCCCCTGGAAGAAATGGACTCCTGTACCTACCTTTGAAGTGTCATTGATGGTAAAGGTGGGACTGAGGCAGATGTAAAAGCAAGAACCGCCAAGCCCAAGGCAAGGTCAGCATTCAAGCAATTTTCAAAAGTCTGTAAAGCAAGCAACATCTCATTGCGCACCAAGATTCGACTCTTTATCTCTAATGTCAAGTCTGTGCTCCTCTACGGCTGCGAAATTTGGAAGACAACAAAGACAGCTTTGAATAAAGTCCTGACTTTGATCAACAGATGTATGAGGAGTATCCTAAGAATTAAATGATAGGATAGAATAAGAAATGTAGAGCTGTGGGAAAGGACAGGACAAAAGGATATACAAGTAGATGTCTGGAAAGTGACATGAGAGAGATGAAGCTCACTTGGAATGAGCTTGGAAGAATGGCCCAGGACAGAGATAAATGGAGGGAGCTTGTATGTGGCCTATACCCTGCCAGGGGTGAAAGGCATGTATAATAAATTCTCAATTACCCGATTTCCCTTGAGTAAAAAAACGAGAAAGCATTTTATTTGTATCTTTTGAATATAGTATTTAATGCTAATACCAGACCAATTTTGAACTACTCCTCACAATTATATTGTTGATATGGCATATATATTAGTATAAGCATAAACAGTTAGCTTTTAAAGTGTGTTCACTCTCTCACTCAATGTTTTTGATTTCAGCTTGGCAAGCTCACTGTTGCTGTTCTCAGAGACGTCATAAAGAAAGAAAAGATTAACACAACAGCCACCAGGAAGAATGACCTCATTGATGCTATCAATGATCACTTTGGTATTTGAACCCATGATATAGCTCCTTTATTTTTTGCAGGTCACTTTAATTTTTTTGGCGAACCACTACATTTATTAGCATTAATTACTACTCGTTTATGTGTAAGTTGTAAGTGAAGCCAAGAGGCTTAAATTCTTTATCATGTAATGTTATCTGGCAAGTAAATTGATGGCAGCAAAATTTATACAAGTCTTCTTTATGTTGTTCATATATCACCTTTTGTCAATATTGGTTTTCCTGTGTGCATGAGATAATATTTCTTGATCCTGTGTCTCTTTAGTGTAGGTTTAAAATTTTCATAGGGACCGGACTGGATAAGGATGTTGGTCCTATATTGAGGCTATATAGAAAAGGTAAACAAATATTTGGGTGGTGAATAGGTGCCGGTGAGGAAATTTCAGGCACTGTTTTGTTGATGACAAAATCCTTGCTTCTTTTTAAATGGTGAAATAAGCTCATGTCTTACAGCCGTGCAGGCATTGAAAAATTGATAGTTACAACAGAAACCTTCATTCTTATTTTTAATCTTTATTAACTTCGTTATGATTTGTAGCAATGCTTGTGGCCAATGAAGAATACTAGAATAATGAGAGAATTTTGGAACAAAAATAATTTTCCGATTATCTTTTGTCTGTTTCTTCATACTTTAGTGTGTTAAGTTGAGGCATTATCAAGCTACATGTAACCTATATAGCGGCAGTGCTTATGAGGGCCTAATATATAGTCTAAATAATGTAACTCACTATTTAGACATTTTACTTGCTGGCATCTACTCAAGTATTTAGTTGTAAAATTGAATTCTGATGAAAGCATAAGGGTAGTGTAAGTACGTTGGCCTTATATTTTGTGTGGCTTAACCTACAACTTTTTAGAAATGATTTGTTAAGCAAAGAGCCGTTGTGTTTGCTGTTTGGTGTGCTTCCCTTTGTACAGCTTACATTTTTAATTGTATGTGAGAAAGGGCTTGTTTGCAATGTTCCTTTGTTTATTATGCCATTCAAGGGTGATCTGTTCACTCAACTTATTGATGTGATGGACTGCAGTGCAGACAACCTCAACCATAGTCTGAACCTCCGACGAGGTAGGCCCTACTCTTGAACTTGGCTTGTTTTGATTCTTCAGGGCTCTCAGCTCTCTTGGTTCAGTCCAACTGGAGATAATGTTAGGTTAGAGTTGGAGGTCATGCCACCTCTTGCATTACCATGATATATATAATAATGTTAAAAACTCATGCCAGTGATACTGCACAATTTTGCGATGAACATTTTCTTTGTACTTGGTGGACTTTCAGCACTGATACATCGGGACTGTGAAATGAGTTTGGAAACAAATTTTGCTAGAATTTAGAATGTGTTACTTTATTTCGTAGTGATTTGTGTAATTTTTTTCTAGTTCTAGACATGAAAGTACATCTTCCTGTCACGTACAGTTCATCTCAGAGTAGATTTTATTCTTTTGACCTGTTTGGAGTTTTTACAGTAAGCCTACATTTTCATTTGTTTCTTTGATATTTTTATGTACTGGTACCACAAAATAAACTTTTGAAAAAAGAAAATTTGTTTTGGAGATGTTGTTTGCATCTTTTGTGTATGTGTGTGTATGTGTGTGTATGTGTGTGTATGTGTGTGTATGTGTGTGTATGTGTGTTTGCATAAAAAGTTAACACTTTTATACGTCATGTGAAAAACCAGCCATGCTCGTGAAAATAGCAACCATTTTGGTAGCCTTTTAAAGTCAGCACTTCATGCCTAATTTCATTATGCTATGGTTCAGCACTTCTGGTACAGTGGTTTCTGCACAAAAACCTGGTCATTGGGAGACTAAAAATAAAAAAGAGGAGGGTTCTTACAACAGGTCGAGTTTTCAGGCACATTCCAACAGCTACTGCTTGCGACCCTCTGTCTTTTTTAGTCTAAATATGACCAATTGAATGTGATCTTGATACCAGAAAGGAGATACTGCAGTTGTCTGTTAAAAAAATTGTTTTATTGTCGGAATGGATGGACCACAGTGGAATTCACGTCTGAACCAATTGAAAGCTGAAAACCGCTGAGCGATTCACCGGCTTTGACAGAGCTTGAGTGCTTGTTTAGGTGCTTTACATCTACACACAACCTTTGATGTTGCTCTGTACACATAGCATAGATAGTGCTGTTTGCCCCACCCCCCATCATTTTTCTTTTCCGTTTACTGGTCGGTACAGTTACGGTAACTTGTTGTGCCACACCCCTAGCTCTTTTTTTTGGCAAGTGTTTTACGGTGCTTGCAACTAATGCAACTGCATAATAAGGCCATGTGAGCGCATGGGACACTAAGCATTATAATAAATTAGTTTGGTAGGAATTAATGTAGAATTTTGCCCAGGTGGCGGCCGAAGCCTACTCTATTTTAGGACCTTTGATGTGCACAACTTGCACACAAGACCTCTGGGAATTTTTCGCCCTTATCAGAAAATGATAGGTGTTGGATCTTATTTACCCTGAGATCAGTGGGTGTGGCGGAAAGACGGCAAAAAGAAGAAGCCAAGGAGTAGCAGTAGAAAGGCAGCAGAAAGAGTCGGGAGCCCAGAGAAGGGGGGCAGAAAGTGGGGACGAAAGCACTTGACAGAACATGGTTAAAGAGCAGGAAAGGGAGCGAAAGGAGATTTTTGGAGAAGAAAATTTTCTCTTTGTTCTCAAAAATGGAAAAAAAAAATGTTTGGATAGTGAGTGCACTTCCGCACTAGCATACCCACACCTCTCCCCAGCTTCCTCATAAAGGCTTTCAACTCGGCCATGACAAGAATCTTTCAGTTTGTTAACAAACTGGCATTTGAGAAATTTCTTTTTTTCCCTCTAATACTGAGCCAAAATTTTGGGCGTATTTTGAGACATCGATTACAGAGAAAGTGCAACATGAGGCTCTTCGTCAGAATGGGGTCTAAGACAGAGACTGTTGTATACAGAAAGCAACATGTTAGAATATATTGCTTTTTATTGGTTTTTTATCAGCTTTCTTTGTCCATTTTTGGATTTGTGGATAACAGGTCGTGTTTAACAGTAACAGTTAAAAGTGAAGATCTTTGAGTAAAGTCATACTGATTAATTTTCAAAACTTAAATCATCTGGACCCTTCACACAAATGAGAATGAAAATTAAGCATGGATTCAGAAGACAAACATTCCTAATTATTTCACTCCCTAAACTGGCATGGAGGTGAGTATCTGTTACGAGTAGATCACCTGTATAGTACATGTATAGCTGCACATATTAAGGTGGTGACTGTGTTGGCATGTTCCTCTGTGCCAAATGATGAGAGAATGTTTTCATTTATTCAGAGAATCGGTTATCGTATATGCTTTCCGCTTCAAAACCTGTTCCATTTTCATAAGTTTAAGTCAGAAGTAGCTTGTGGGTGGATGGCAGGTGTTCTGGTGTGGTTTGCTCCTTTCCTATCAAACATCTATCGTCCTTATCTCTCCTACTTTTTTGGTGTATTTTTTTATTCTCTTGTAACACATCTATTCTTCGGCACTTATAAAGATGACCTTGTTGTGTTGTAAGTGCCGTAAAACACTTACGAAAACTAAAAAAGAAGTAGCTTAGTGGAATTAAATCTAGGTACATCGAGCTGGAGAGCAGAAATTGCCAAAAACACTTGTTGGGACTAAAAATGAGCAACATTTTTTGTCGCTTTATTACACTTTTGAATGACGTTTCTGTCAGAAAATCAACACAAAATCTTTTAAATATGTTTTTTAAAGCTATTCTGGAGAATGTCTTTGTTCTGCGATGTAATATTATATAACATTTAGTACTACTTTTGAGCTTCAGTAAAATAACATTGTTCGAAATTGACCTGGCAAACTACATAGCACCGATAAGAGGAAATCCTTTTCTTTCCATTGAGACCTATTTTAGGCCCTTGGGATCCCCTTTATGGCCAATGAAAGAGTTTGAAAGAAAGCTTGCATTTGTAAACATTTCAATGACCTCCTCAGAGACGAAGGTTTCCAATCCTCTCATTGGCTTAAAGCTTCTTAAGCACATTAGCTCCAAAAATAGGATCCAGTCAATGAGGCCCTAATGAAGGGAAGGAGAGAAACTCAAATATTCGTGGGGAGAATTTTGTCTATCTTTCAAATATCACATAGTATTATTTTATTATTGTTATTGTAATTTTGGTCTGTCTGCAAACTGTGTTCAAGTAACAAGACATGTATCTCAGCTATCAGTACAGTTTTAAGTTTAGTTTCAGTTTCGGTTTTTCGTCCCTTGCAACACTGTAAGTAGGTCATTTAAGAGACGGGCTACTTCGACCCTGCCTGTCAGGGCCAACCCTTGCTGAGAGGGAGGAATCCCAGCAGAAAAACACAGATGCTCATCCCCGCGTGCGAATTGAACTAGTCTTCTGCATGATAGGCAAAGAGCCTTATCATAATACCACAGACGCCAGTTCAGTAGTCAGTGCAAATGTTTTGGGGGCCTGATAAATAAAGGCCCCAACGTTTGTCCTTAATCTAGATTTCTTGGTTTTTGGTTTTCGCTCCTAGCAACACTGCAATAGCTCTAGCTACTTCGAACCTGCCTGTCAGGGCCAATTTGGGCTGAGAGGTACTTTAGGCTACATCCTAGCATATAAACAAAGATATTCGATCAAAAATTTGCTCCATGGGCCTTGATTTGAATTCCAGCTCTCTGCATGATAGATGAAGAGGCTAACTCTTTGCACCACAGACGCTGGTCCAACTGCTGTATATTCTGTATTTTATTTGTGTTTATGTCTTTCAATGTCTACTTAAGTATTGACATTTAGAAGCATGAGTAATCAGATCTAGATCTAAAGCGCTTTACGTTTTAAAGCTCTTCTTCCGTCTCTTTTCGTCGTTGTTTTGTTTATGTTTGTTTTTGTAAAGTGTTTTACGGCGCTCACAACTGCATAAGGTCATATGAGCGCGCGGGACACACCTAATATTTTCAGTTGGTAGGAAATTTTGAATCTTGCCCAGGTGGCGGCCAAAGCCTACTCTTATCGACTTTCAGACCACCAAGGGATCTTTAACGTGCGCAACTTGCACACGGGCCCTCCGAGATTTTTCGCCCTTGTCCGAGAAGGCTAGGTGTAGATCTTTCCTACCAGAAGATCAGGGGTGTGGCAGTGAGAAAGACAGCAGTAAGGAGGAGCCAAGGAGTAGCAGTAGAAAGGCTGCAGAAAGAGTCGGGAGCCCAAAGGAGGGGGCAAAGGAGGTGAGGGGGTGGGGGCAGAAAGTGGAAATGAAAGTAGACAACAGAACATTGCAAGAGAGCAGGAAAGGAGGTGAAAGGAAACAATTTTAGAGAAGAAAATGTTTTGGTCGCTACGCGGATTCTAACCCGGGATCTTTGAATGAGAGGCCTACACCTTAACCTCTAGGCAACGAGAGCCCCCTTTGTTTATGTTCTGGTGCCTTTGAGAAAACATTCTAAAAACAAAATTATTAAAGTTAAAGTCAAACATTTGACAATTGGTGAGTATATTGGCATTGCCACATTTAATATGTGTGCCAAATTTCATGAACCTAGCTTTATTAGAAGATGCCTGTTGCTATGGAGGCATATGTCAAATCTTTGATTGCAGATATCTCAGTACTTTGTCCCGGACAACAGTAGTAGAGAATTCCAAAACTGAATCGTGCTTCATTTAGTTAAATATTATCACATTATTAGTTTGATATTGGTGTCAAATGAAGGGGTATTACTTCTTTGCAACTGCAGTGGGTGCCGCATTATTCAACGAGAAGACGGCTCCAACGAGGCAATCCATAATCCCCGATTTTTCCTCTATATCTCTTTGTAAATGTACGTCGGCTCCAACGAGGTTGCAAACAGACAGAAGTCGCTTTCAACGAGGTGGCTATAACCAAATAAAAGCAATTAGCGTCACAAAAAGCGAAGAATTTTTCTTCTTTCTCTCCATCTCACGCGAAGCACGAAGCCCATCACCGATTCCACAGCTCAAACACGCTGTTGGAGATTTTCATCATCAGGGGGAACAACTGTTTTAATTACTGGTATTGGTACATCCTATAAATAATATAATAATAACTTGTCTCCTTTCTTTACTTTAGCCTTAGTCACATTCAACGAGAAGTCGGATCCAACGAGGACAACAAGCCGGTCCCGGCAACCTCGTTGAATGCGACACCCACTGTAAAAGTAATTGACGGCCCCAAAAGCGAAGAATTTTTCTCCTTTCTCTCCATCTCACGCGAAGCACAAGGCCCATCCTCGATTCCTAACGCATTGTATTGCCATGCTAGATGATACTAGATCTAGTGTGCTTTGTAAATTGGGCGCCAAAGCCAAGAGGATGGGCGAGGGTTAGCCTAGGCTATGGATGGGAGGGAACGCGATGCGGGCTGTGTGAAACTGGATGAACTCTGGACGGGTGGGTCTAGATCGAGACCTTGATTTTTTTCAATTTTCTTTTCTTCCTCTGATCAGAAAATCCAAGCTCCAGCCTTTACTTTACGTAGATTAAGGCCTAGATGATAGTAGATGTGAGAGGGTATGTTTCAACACGAGAAGTGTTCCGGAAAATTTTTTTTTAAAAATGCAGAAATGACTGTCAGAGCACAGCTCAAACACGCGCACACTGAAGCTGTTAAGAGATGTTCGTCATCAGGGGATACAACTGTTTTAATTACTGGTATTGGTACATCGTGTAATATAATTACTTGTCTCCTTTCTTGTCTTTAGCCTTAGTCACATTCAACGAAAGGCTGGATCCAACGAGGACAACAAGCCGGTCCCGGCAACCTCGTTGAAAGCGACATCCACTGTATACCAAAAACCCATATTATGAAATATGTACCTTGTGGACCAAACCGCCGGGACTCGTCACAAGTACCAATACCTGAACTGAACCTACACTTCCACACATATATATGTCAAACTGTACTGCTTCTAGTTTAGTAGAGGTTTTACGGCGCTCGCAGCTGCATAAGGTCATATGAGAGCCAGAAGATTAGAGGTGTTACAAGAGAGTAACAAACATAAAAAAGAAGAAAGGGAGATAAGGACGATAGATGTTTGACAAGAAAGAAGGAGCAAACCATACCAGAGCACCCGCTAACCACCCACTGTACTGCTTTGAGCAGTTGAGAGAAACTGTTTTAGTCAGTTTTAGTAGAGATTTTACGGCACTCGTAACTGCATAAGGTCATATGAGCGCCAGAGGATTAGAGGTGTTACAAGAGAGTAACAAAAATAAAAAAGAAGAACGGGAGATAAGGACGACAGATGTTTGACAGGAAAGAAGGAGCAAACCACACCAGAGCACCCGCTAACCACCCACTGTACTGCTTTGAGCAGTTGAGAGAAAGTAACTTCCATCATGATCTCTATCTTGCACAAAGACTTTAGAGTAGCTTACCATAATTACAATTAAACATTTTTACAGTTCTGTATTCTTGGGACAATGTTAAGTCTACCCACTATTACAGAGGTGAGAAAACAACTGACAGCACTCGCAGTAGCTTGTAAAATAAAAGCAAAATACATTTTTTACACTTTTGTTCTAAGTTTTATTTTCACTCAACATATCAATCATTTCTTTCATAGAGAACACAAAGTAAAACCAAAGAGAAGAAAATATAAAATTTTGTCAGAATTCGAAGTTGCTTTTGCTATCAATTATCAAAGAAGGATAAAGTTGGGCACATAACATGCTAAAAACTAAACTAAAAAAAAAAAGGTTAAAAAAAAGGAATGTTTTCAGCTGGCCAAGAGTTTTCATAGAACCAACCACAAATTTTGTGAATTTAACAATATGGATTATCCATGGGTTTTTAAAAAATGTATTATTCAAACAAAGAAATCATCTTCTCTGTACACACATTCGGATTCATTTTTCATACCTCACAAACCTACATGATAATGAATAGAAACAGACACAAAAATGTTGTGCCACACAAGGCAATGTACACAGATCAGCAGATGAGAATTAGGGAACACAATAACGACCTCAACTTGTCTCCATTTCTTCTTGAGCTGAAATAGAAAAAGAAAAGAAAAGAATAGAGTGATTTGTTAACGCTCTTGAGAAGCACAATAAGATGGCCACTGCCAACATTAAAGACAAAGACACATGAGAAGACTTACTTGGCCACACTATGAGCAAATACAGAGGTCTGCACATGACATCCTGCAATATGACATGGCTTCCACTCCAAAGGCCAACAATGACTATATTAATAAAAAAGTTTTTGAGGCAATTCTCCGTTGTCAAGTACTTTAGAACAAGCTTCATGTATTATTTTGACCATCTCTCACTATTCCAGAGTTTGACCCAACCGTTTTTCATTTAATTACAGTACTTTCCTTTATTCTGTACAAAACTTCAGTCGAACCTGCTCTAACAGCCACCTGTACAAATGGCAACTTCCCACTTTTCCGTACTTGCAGTTTTTAAAATATTATGACAGTTCAAGAAGTTCGTCTGTTTCAGACACCCAGCCACTTATTTCTTCAACAATGGGTGACCATCTTGGACATTTCAGCTACCTACTGCCAGAAATTTTAAGACATCAACTAGGGCCAGTGTCAGTGTGGGTATGATTGTAAAAAAAATAAAAAATACTAGGAATCAAATAAGAAAGTAACAACGCAATAATAAAATTGCATACAGTATAACACGGATATGTTGAACGCAGCTGACTCGAAATCACGCATCCGTCAAACTGTGCCTGAGGTCATTTTTTCCTTCTTTATCGGTATAAGATATCCCTCCGCCTGCGGATCTTTCGAACTATCAGGGCCGGACCCGACGAACTGTGCCTGTGGTCCTTTTTTTTTCTTTTTTCTTCTTTATCTTTCAAAGAAAATTACTCCAAGCTTGAACACAAATACAGAATAGTCGAACTAATTATGCTGGCATATAGGTCTAAAGTCAATGTCCTTTGAGGTGCATTTGAGATTAAATGATAATAATAAAAATGATAATAACGGAAAAAGGCAAGGTCGGTAAAATATTACCTTCCCCCCTCCACAGAAGCAGCTAGCTGTGCTATTTTTAATGAGCTGCTCGACATGTGTGCCCAATGACTATCTAGCTAGGCTTGTGTGGAGCAGGGAGGAAGGGTTGTGCATCACACAATCGATCTATTGTTTTTCCCTTGAAGTAGCAAACTTTGTTGCTTCCTCTGATTCTCTGACACAGCCGATGCCATAACACTGTTCACGTATCCCTCGAACTACTGAGGTCGGTCCCAATCAATTTGAGCTATCCGTGTTATACTATAATACTTTACATAATACCCATTCATTAACTTTTAAGATCAGCACTTGAGTTTCTGTTCTCTAAAAGATAACACCAACTTAATCCCATCCTGAGAGGTGTGACAAAACTTTTTGCAGAAGCCAAATTAAGAGTAAAAAAACGTACAATAATATAAAAAGGAAAAAGAAAGAAAAAGGTAACTATAATTCCCATAGGCGGACTTATACTAAACCTGCCAATTCTGTAGAAAAGCTACAGGCAATTTGAAAGGGTTCATGTTCTGTAAACCCTTGAACCAAAATCTCAGTATGGGGCCCAAATGAAGCCAAATCAAAAGCCCATCCTTCTAAAAACGTAGAAATTTATCACATATACATATTTATATATTGCCTAGATCCATCACCCTGACCAACAACAAAAGAAGTTTTGTACTTGCACCATACACACTGACATTTTGGGGAGTCCCTAACAAAAAGCTCCACTGATTGAACACAAAGCCGAGTCTATCCCTGGGATCAACCCACAAGTAAAGTGATGATTATGATTAATTTTGCTAAACGACAATAATTTAAAAGACAATCAACAGGTACCCTGTAGCAAAAACTTACTCATTTCATTGAACATAAACTCTTGTTGGTATTCTTTCAGGAACTGTGTAGACCTTGACTCATCCAGGAATAATGAGTAAACACGTTTGATGTCATCAACATCAACCTCAGAGCCCTATAAAGCAAAAACAAAGACATGTAAAAGCAAGAATAAAAAAAGTATGCAAAGACGTGTATAAGCAAGAATAAAAAAGTATGACAACTTAATACTTACAGTACCGAATGCTCATACAGGGAAAAACCCTCAAGTACTGGACCAGTTTAGAACGCTGAAGCCCCGGTAGATAATAAAAAAAAATCCAAACAACCTTTGCAGCTTAAAAACACGTTTTAAAAATTCACAGAACTTTATCAACCATTCAGCTATCATATGTAAGGCATCGTGGTGAAATCAGGAGCTCGTCAAAATTCCAAAATTGGAGAAATAGGCTTGTTTCCACAAGTTCGGCAATTTTTATCGAATTTTTTTGGGGGGCTCAAACCCTTTAACTCACTTCAGATGGTTCACACAACAGTTCCGTGACCCCCGCCGCGACAGTTCCCACAAGCCCTGCGTGACCAAATTTGGAATTTTTTTTATCGCTCTACAAATCACGCACGGATCGCGTGACCCGCCTCGTACCCTTGTTTGGCCAGGCCAGAGCTACTTAGACTTCGTTTCGTATCTCTGGGGCCTGCAGTTTTTAAGTTAGTGAAGGTGAAGGACAGTGGCCCCAACTTGGGTTGAACTGATCGGAACTCGCACTTTGTTTCTTTTTATACAGCAGACAGTAATCCGACAGTCGAGCCATAGTAACGGTCGAAAAAGTCGCATGAACAAGAATCACATAATTTCGCCGTTTTCGATACTTCTGTAAGTTTCACTAGATCTAGTTCTTGTGTCTCAAAATATGATGTGTCTGATAGTTAGGATCCTGGATATGTACCCGAACACGGCCCGAGTCGTAGTTTTAGGGCTAGATCTAGCACTAGTATTGGTGTTGTTCGCGCAACGAAATCACAACGTCATGCTGTACTTCTGTCTCATGTAATTCGGTGCATGGGTCTGATTCAACGCACAGACCAGCTTTTATATTTTCACCAAACACTCACCTTTTTAGACATGTTGAGTTATTGGTATCATCTGAAAGCTCTTTCATTTGTTTTACTTTCAATGAAAAAAATACGCATCTATCTGCCAAGTAGCCAATATCGACACACTAGGCCTTAGTAGGTCATGTAGGGCCTAAACAGTGTAGTCTCCAACTCGGTGCCCCACAGACGAGAGCATCAAGGTTCTCACCATAACTGTGTCTAGAGTGCTGTAAAACATCTACTATCTATGACAAAGCCATACTCCAAGGTCCTCTCGCTTTAACTCAATGCAAGTGCCGACTTGTACAAGTACAAATTCTTCACCTTTCTTTTCCTGCACACAAGGTTTGCGGCTGTGATGAGCTGAATGGAGTAGCGGAGACTTGTTTCCATTCCAATACGCGTAAGAACAGTAAGGGCATCGTCATTCATCTCCACATCTTCCTCTTCACACCTTTGATGAAAAAAAAGGCACAAAAAAAAAGTTTGCATTAGCACAACATCAAAATGAAATAAAACTGGCACTAACACCTGAGTACTTAAAGATCTAGTACCAGTATTAGCTTCCTTTTCGGCTGGCTGCTCTTCATCGTTAATCGCAAAACATCATATCCACAGTTGAATGAAATAAATTCACATGGAGCTGGACCCTTCAAAAAATTTTCTCAGCAGAATGAAGAAGATTTGAGTTCAAACTAACAGAGAAGATACTTACAATACAAACAGAACACACATCACAACATACCGGATTTTCAAAATCTGTTTGATTTCCTTTTCTTCATACGGTTGTGTGGAGATGATGACAAGTCTATCAAGTAAATCAATAGGAATTCCGTGAGGACTTTTGTACTGGGTACCTCGGATCCTGGAGAAAAAAACAAAAATAACTAGATGAACACTGACATCTGTACACAGAAGGCAACTTTTCTCTTCTTAAACTTGGATCTAAAATATAATGAAAGGGTCAACTTCTGTGTCAATTTCAATTCCTCCAGGACAACAAGAAGGCTTCATTAACTTCCTTGTCTTATGATGTTCATGACACGTCATTAAAATACATAATCTTTAGCTTTGTGCCGTACCACCGACATCATAAAAGTAGGCAAAATTTGCTGTTTCTGGTTGCCTTTAAGACATTGCATACATATCCCACTAATTATCTGGTTCAATTCTTATAGAGAGATTAAGCTATAAGCACAGTGTGGATTCATTAGCAGGAATAAAAAATGCGCACACAGTTACAAACTGACTCATATTTCTTTACCACTACGCTTGCAAGCGTTAAATAAACACAGGTCTTAGTTTTAGTAGAGGTTTTACGGCGCTCGCAACTGCAAAGGGTCATATGAGCACCAGAAGATTAGAGGTGTTACAAGAGAGTAAGAAACTTAAAAAAGAAGAAGGAGAGAAAAGGATGATAGATGTTTCATGGGAAAGAAGAAGCAAACCACACCAGAGCACCCGCCAACCACCCACAAAGACAGGTCTAGTCTTGCAAACGAAAGCATGCTCTGGCAAAATGTAAATACCAAAATGACTGAATAAAGGCTGCAACTTTCACTTTTGAGTTAGATTTGCAAGTTGTTCAAAATTTGGAGATATCGGGGAATGTGGGGATGAGGAAAGTGGGGAAGGGAACATTATCGAAGACTTGTGGTCTGAATATGTCATAAGTGGGCCCGAACCAGACAACGAATCCACCGACACCGAGACTGATGAGACTCATGGGTGAAAGCAATGACAGGTTCAAAAACCTGAAATCCCAATTAGTAAAATGTCTACGCCTGAAAATTACACACGTTGAGAAATGTCATCACATAAACACACTCAATATTATGAAATAAACACATTCCTTCAAGATACATACATGTAGTACATGTACTTTCATCAATGCATTCCTCTGACAACAATCCATCCAATCGGGTTCTTGATCCGCAAAACAGCATTGTGCTATTACTGGATGTTAATTTTTTCACAGATGTATTAACTAACACTACAAAGTACCTTATCACCATCCCCAAAGGGACACACAAAAGTGTCGTGTCACTGTCACAGTCCACATATTTGTACTTTTTTAACTACAACTCTGGCTTCTTGCTAAAGAAGAGCTCAGCAATGGTACATTGCACTTGGGAACACATTGTTTGGTGCTGCAGGTTGGGCTGTTGCAGTTGATGGTGAAATCGGCTGGACATAGAAATCTTTGCGTTAGTACAAATTCTGCAAAGGACAAACTTTATGCTGCACTAAGGAAGATAACCAAGTTGGACAATCAGGTCAAAATTTACATGAATTATGCCCCCTTATGCAAAACTGGCAAGCATGATGGATTCATGGCAATTTCATTTCTAAATTTTAATGCTGTAGTCCTCAGTCTTAACTGAAATAACTTGGCTTGACATAGATCTAGATAAAGCTATAGCCTGAACCTTTTGAAACCAATGCAACATTGCTTGTTCCACTGCTATTTACTTTTTCAGTTTATGCCCTTTCGTCCCTGGTTCAGCACTGTTCTCAATATTTTCCAGTGTTTTTTCTCTTCTTTAGTTTGGAATCGCAAACGTTTTGCAGATTGGGTTTTTTATATTGATTTTACATCCACCTCTGCTAGGATCAGCCGTTTGCCCTCAACCATGTAGTCTTTGTAAGTTTCTTTTGCTCCGCTATGGTTCACTCTCTACTACATCTTCACCTAGACATAACTGTGCAGAACGTCGGCAAGCTGCTGCATAGTACGTAATCTCTGTTGAAGAGAAAGCGCTGACACATGTGGCGACAATACGGCCTTACCGGCTACGTACCCTCACAAGCAGACTCTCCGCTCCCATGTCTAAACCAAATCTGTAAATCTATGAAATCTAAAAATCAGGATTGTTGTTGTTAGCGATCCAGTAGCATCTGAGCGTTAACTCCTCTGCATGAAGCCATTCCAAAAAAAAAATCAGGATCTTACGGTGGACAAAAAAAATCGGGATCGACAACAAATCACCAAGGTGATTTGCAAGCCGCTTAAAAATGTTTCCAGGGGTGTTAATAAATATCCATGTATAGGCCCTCTGCGCGCGCGTGTTTTTTATCATTATTAAAAAAAAAATAATTCTGAAGTAATATAGTGTCAAAGTCTCCTTGTCCAAGAGTCGACCCCTCCCCCTTCCCCATAAGTCCCGAAAGACGCTTCAACCAGTGTGCATGAACTTAAGTTGACCCCGTCAACGAACCGTCCCTCCCTGACACATGCGAAACTCGCATGCCGAAGTCATGTCATGTGATGAGAACGCACGATTGAAAGGTTTACTCACGGGTCTTGATGACTGACTAAACAGAAGTTGGACAAAGCTTGTTGTGAAGTAAAAGCAATGCTATGAATAATATTGATCATTTATATGCTGCAATTGAAACAGTTATCAGGCCATCGTCGGAGAATTCTGAGAGATTACGGGTCCGGTAGCTCAACATTAACAACTAGACTACACCGCAACTTAAGTGAGCATGCTAGATCTAGGTCTACCGCTGAACACTCCTGTGTCGTATGAAACAAACGTGTCCTTGGCCTATACCTAGACTACACTACTGCCCTCGGCTTGTGTCTATTGAGAGGTCATAGGCCTCCACTCCTACTGTGCGCCCCCCCCCTCTCTCTCCACGGCTACATCGGTAAAACGAAATTTGCCTCCGTCTATATGCCTTCATGTAATTAGATCTACCCTCGACGTCCCTGATTTTTTCCTTCGCTATGCACGAATTGTCAAGTCTTTGTGAGTGTTTTAATACACAGATTAATATAGGCCTTCAACTTCAAGTTCAAGACAAAATTCGGGACCACAAATTCTGTTCGTTAAATCTATTATTCTATGGGTGTCTTATCTACATTTAATGAGAGACAGACTGAATTTCCTTTTTTTCGTTGCTGTTGTTCACAAAATCACACTCTTTAAAGTTTGACCACGACGTGCTTGAGCTTGTCCAAACGACCCACAAACATAAGCCAAAAAGGTCAAAACCAGCCACAATTTGCAAAGTAGGGCTAAACCTGGGTAAATCACAGATAGAGCGGTCTTGCCAGATCAATAACATCGCGGTCGTAGTGTTTACTGCGACATAGATCTAATTATGTTATTTCTGGGTGTGCAACGCTAATTTTGGCCAGTACGGCAAGCTGAGACAGACCCGCAATGTAACCCAATGCAAAGAGCCAGAAACTGTGGATTTGGAGTATGACTACTCCCGAATATTTATGAAGTCGACAATTTGTCCCCAACCGGAAAAGTTGGAAAGCTTATTTTCAAAAGCCGGAATTCCGGCATATGCCGGAAACTTTCACCCATGATGAGACTGCCATCCTGGTTAACAAGCTTAGCTGAAAATCAGTGCTGACAGTAGGCACTCACACCACCTGGTAACGAAGAGGTCAAATAACTCATATCTCAAGGTAAAAAAAACAACAAAAACCCAACCTTTTTAAAAGGTCGGTCATAAAATTTACTTACAACATTGATGCCCATAGCCAAACTATGAACCGCTTAGCTCTGGTATTGACCTCTTCCATTGCAAAGAAACAAAACTTTCTTTCGTGTCTAACCATATATGCAAAGAGCAAAATGACACAACCACGTCTCATCTTTCCATCCACACAACCAACAACGACTTGGCACTGAGTGGAACAGCCATGACATAGCAGCTTCTGGACTGATAACAACAACAAGTAATCATGTCCAAAGAACATTATGTGCAAAAGGAATCTCCTGCATCATTATTGGAATGGTATATGAAAGTAAAAGAATCCACTGACTTACCTTGTGATTCCTCTGTTTGTGGCCATGATGAGAATGGGTGCCATGTCAGATTCCAGGGCACGGTTGAGGAAGGAGAAACACTCTATGTCCAGCATGTGGACTTCATCCACAAACAAAACCTGCAGAAAGTTTTAGAAAACTAATTACACTTGAGGAAATATATTATCATTTGAAAAAGACGGACATGGACTGTAGTCAGTAAATAGAGATTTGTTTAGACCTGCATGTGAGCCTCAACCAGATTGTCTGAAAATTTTGCGCAACCCCCCCCCCCCCCAAAAAGACTTTGTGGGTGTCATAAGGAAGGACATCCGAGTAACGAGCGACCATCCCAACAAACACAATAAAGAAGAGACCTAACCCTAACCCTACCCCCCAAGAAGAACCTGCAACGGGCCTCATGTAAAAAGGCCAAAACAAGTCCTAAATAATAAAAAAAAAAAATTTTAATTAAAAAACCACACTCCAAAACAAACAAGGAGCATATAGATCTAGATCTATATGGCTTACATCTACATTGCTGTAGGGTTTGATACAATAACACAATAGAATTGGAAATATGAATCCTCCGTATAGATCTAGTAATCTAAATAAATCTAGATCTAGAATCTAGATCTAGATCTTGTAGAACAAGTGAATAGGAATAGGCCTTGAACTAGAAATCCGCATCCGATTCCGAACAGAGGGACTCAGCTGAGTCTAGATTCTAGATCTAAATAAATAAATAATTCACACACCTGATGAAATGCTTATTTTTACCAATATTAATATTACAGCACAACCTATAATAGGGTTTGACACAATAGAATTGGAATATGAATCCTCCATTGAGGTCTATAATGATTTATATAAATCTAGATCTATATCTAGATCTAGATTCTATTAGAACAAGAGAGTCGGACTTGAATGAATCCACACGATCTGAACAATTGAATTAGTCAACAAACGAAATTCAAAATGGCCGCTCGAGCACGAAACTGAAAGTACATAATTTAGGTTGTCGTCCTTTTTCGTATTCGCATTTCTACTTAGGTTCCGACAATTATGTCGGATCGCCGACGTCGGCAGTCGGCGGTGTGCGCGTCTGCGGTCGGAACGAAAACGAAAGTGCCGACGAAGCTGACGGGAGAAAAGGGGGGCGCTGGCAGTCGGCCAGGCCTCGCACAACGCACATTGACTGACACAGGCGGGCCTAACGATAGCATCGGCCAGTTCGCGATTGTCGGCAAACATGCAGGTCTATTTGTTCCTGTTAAACAGATGGCCAATTGACAACTACTTCAGGACTGGAGGGAATCTCAGCGACAAACTCTGATCCTAAGAGTACTGGGACCGGTTAGGCAAATTATTTCATATGGCAGACTATACATGTCATATCATCATACAACCCTTATAAACACATCAATAGCATAAGTACTCTTCTTTCTAAAAATCATAGATTCATGCAAAACACTGAGGTGGTTTGCAGGGGTTTAGCAAAGGTACCCATGACCTAAAAGTTAACAGGATTCCTATATTTTCAAGGACATCCAAAATTATTTATCAATTCTCAAAAAATAAGTATTGAGCATAAAAAAAGAAATTTGGAATTTCAAAATCAATTCTGCCCTCTTCAACTTTCATTTTGAAGGAAAAAGTATTCAACTTTTACACACCCCTGGGACAATCTCAGCCTTTCCTTCCTCTCTCCACTCAGCAACTTTTGAGTTGATCTGTTCTCTCACTTCAGACTTGATTTCACCAGTGTCCCCTGCAAAACAAAACATTTACACTTGTTGACATGACAGTTTCAAGTGTTGTTTATGGCGAGTTATGGAGATAACTGCTACATTTCAACCTGAATGGATTAGTATGATAGCAAAATAATAATAATAATAATAATAATATAACATTTATATAGCGCATTTCCACAAAAGCAGCACAATGCGCTTTACATTGGAATACCCATTTTCAAAACCTTTCTTACTACTTCCTTTCTCATGCAATATATATATTTATGCACACACACACACACGGACTATTTCCATTCAGACGTAGTCACAGAACAACTATAATTTAAAAAATAACGCAAAAGCTTACGAAAGATAGGCCTGTAGGAACAGAAAATGCTTAAGATGTCTTTTGAAGCTATCAAGTGTTCTTGTTTGTTGCAAAGCTGAGAAGAAGTAAAACAGACTGAAAAGAGCCTATTAACAAACTACTAGCCTAGGCTTGAGGACAGTATTTTTTGTTGTTGACAAGTTAAAATGGTAGGACCATTCTAATATGCTTATCCACGAAAATATCTATCCACACTCAATTACAGGGCCTTTGCAGGTAAGTTGAAATCTTAAGACTCACAATAAAACATTTTTAATGGCTTTCTAACCAATAAGTAGGATCTGTAACAAACTGAGATCATTGTGGAAAGATGTAAAATAAAATGTACAGTACAGAGATACGAAACAAAATTCTTAAAGGCTATGCTGAAAAAAAAAAAGAGGCGTAACATTATTATTTACAAGAACAATACTGCGGAGTCCACTTACACCTAACATGATTACAAAAACAGCAATAAACCAAATGAAAAGTCCCAGATTTTTTCTTCTTTGTCTCTGTAAGAAAAATATCGATTAGGCAAAATGCGCCTATTTCTAAAATGAAAAGAATTTAGAGGATTATGTCATCTTAATCTTCACTAGCAACCCTGAAGTAATGCAAATCATCATGTCTTACATACTTCAAAATTAGCAAAACAGAAAACAGAGACACAAGACCGCAACTGTGTCGACTGCACCCCTGAGAGCAGCAAAGTCAGTGTACTGTTTGCTGTTTATTACACACATCAATAGGCGTACACACTGCTTCTTGAAGTGAACCAAGGACAGCAAATGAATGTCTGTCATGTAACCTTCCAATGGTTATGACTTATTGTCGCTGTGAAACTAGTTCACATAGGTCCTGCACATAAGCACACAACGGTATATACAGTAGTCTCCACCTCAGATACCACCGCTTAAGATCCTGCTGTTTTACAAAAAACGAATATTTTTACCATACAAAAGTCACCCCTAAGATCCCGTTCTGATTCACTCTGGAGGTCTACATTCGGCAAAGATCCAGAATTTCAGATAATAATTTACAGAACAAAAATCGCGGGCGGACACAGTTGATCAACCAAGAATGAAAAGCTGAGGTCATTGAACTGCACGTTGTGTTAAAGATTAACCACTCTCGAGAATGTGATCGCACAAGCGTTGTAAAACTCCATGAAACGGTACAATTTTGCTCCAGACGGGATCAGATTCAGGTGTCAACTGACCAACACGTTTGGTTTCCCCAAAACATCGCACTCGCATCTGAGCTCTCCACCTAAACCTAAATCACTTGCCCACAAGTTCGCTCCAGGTGGGGTCACATTGAACCGTAAACTCTACCCTGACTATTGCAGCAGAATTGTCTCTATTCCACAATTTCTGAGACAGACCGAAATTTAATTGGTGTGACCACAACATAATCGTGCGTAACGACAAAGGCGGGGAAACTCGGTCAGAGATGAAAAGCGATAAATTTTGGACAAAGGGGAGGAGCTACTGGATTAGCGTAGATCTTGACTCACGATGGATGTTGTAAACCCACCCAGGGGTCATGACAGTTCATTTTAGAGCAGAGGGAAACTATTTTACCAGTTGTGGGCCTTAACATGGACCAGCGTAGATTTTTCCCTTGGTGCGTCTGCTAAGAACCTGTTCACCTAAGACGCCGCATTTCCCTTGCTCCTGAGTACCTGGTTCTTAGGCAGCGACTACTGTAGGGTGCTTCTAAATGTCACAGGCATTACGCTTTCTCACTTCTCTAGCCTATTGCAGACCACAGTGCAGTGTACAGTGCAGTGTGCTGATCTACTCTTTCATCTGTTCTGTGTGACAGTTCGGCAGGTTAAGTAAGCTGACAATGTCAAAGACAAAGCATAAAGTGTAAAGCATGCAGCTCAAATTGCAGTTCCTTAAAGAGGTAGATGAAAAATAACTTTCAAAAGCTGCAAGCACGGCATTCCCAACTCTACGCTGTTGACAGTCATCATTATTTGAGCAGTCTCTTTAAACTTAAAACACAGCTACACCGCAGAAAATCTAGCAATCCTGCAGTTTAGTTTAAGCAGACTCCATTCTGTTTCTCCCATTACTCACCTGAAAAAAGTGCCAAGAAGCCTTGAGTCCGACTGTTGATCACATCAATTTCGTGAAGGGTAACTGTGTGAACGACTTCCTTTCTCTTTTGCAACTCTCCTTCCGGACACTGAACAAACTTAGTCTGCAAAAAAATAATTTAGAAATAAAATAAGAGCATACTCCACTATGTAAAGGAAATGATGAACACTTACATAGAACATATTTCTCCATGACAGATTTGTGCCTTTGAAAGGATGGCAAAATGAACACAAAACTGGGTATTCAACATGGAGTAAAAATGTCATATCTGATAAATTTCACCTTTGGGGTGGGGGTTACGACTACGTAAGGTCACATGAGCACGCTGGACATATCAAAACTTTTTCAGTCGGTAGGAAATCTTTAATGTGCGCAACTTGCACATGGGCCCTCCGAGATTTTTTTCCCTTGTCCGAGAAGGCTAGGTGTAGATCTTTCCTACCAGATCAGGGGTGTGGCTGAAAGACAGAAAGAGAGGACGACAGCAGACGACAGAACATTGCTAGAGAGCAGGAAAGGAAGCAAAAGGAAACAATTTTAGAGAAGAATATTTTTCAGTAGCTATGCGGATTCGAACCGGGACCTTTGAAAGAGAGGCCAACACCTTAAACTCCAGGCCACAAGAGCCACCTAAATTTTACTGCAGTTCCAATTTCATCACCAAGGGGAAACAATATTGTAGCAAGAGTGCAAGCATTATAGACGCCAAAATGAATGATTAGAATAACAGAACATTAAAAAGTGAGAGTCAGAAAAATCAAATTAAGGATTCATTATGCAGTGCCTAAAAGTAACATGTACCATTTTCAGACACCATAATATATCAAAATATAAAACAAACAAAAAAATAGCACACTATATAAACAAGAACAGGGCCTCTCTTTTTCAGTCTTCTTTATATTTTATTAAAATGGAATGAATTACCTGTGCTCCCATTGCATCGTAGTCTCTAGCTCTCGTAAACGACCGGCCTAATTTGGTAATTTTTCCAGTTGCTTTGTCTATGGTGACAATATCTCTGTAGAGCAAAATCATATGTCCAAAATAAAGGTACTTATGTATACAAAAACCAAAACCAACAATTGAAATTTTTTTCTACTTTCTTCTTAGCTGATCATTCAAGTGTGAATAAAACTTCACACTGACACTAAAAAGTTGATACAAAAATTTCCAAAGTCAGCCAGGTAGCTGTTGAGACAACTAGTGATTAGAGTTACATCTTAACATCTTCTTTTGTACCACATATACCATACCTTTATGATACCTTTTAGAAAATCTTTAGTGGGCAGATTCTTAAAAACACCAGAACCACAACAGAACATCTTTAGAGACAGTGTACTCTGGCCCTACATTTCGACTCAAAACTGAAAGCCAGTTACACATACTATGAGTATAAACACCCCTTGCTAAACAAAAAATATTAATCCAAACCACACACATGATAAATCATGTAAATCCAAACAAATCACATCATCACTGCCACAGGAAATAATTTTTCTAGTGTATTTTTTGCTTACCCTGTAAAGTGGGTCAAATGGACAAACATTTTTTAAAGTTTAGTTTAGTTTTAGTAGAGGTTTTACGGCGCTCGCAACTGCATAAGGTCATATGAACGCCAGAAGATTAGAGCTGTTACAAGAGAGTAACAAACAAAAAAGATGAAGGGGAGATAAGGACGATAGATGTTTGATAGGAAAGAAGAAGCAAACCACACCAGAGCACCCGCCAACCACCCAAAATTTTCCACACACCATCTCCAATAAAGCAGTAAGAGAACAACCTCCCTCAACGATTAAATTAACAGGAGACAGATTTCAAATATATCACTCATACATTGATATGAGAAAAAACATAGGAAGGAAGAGAGTGACAGGTGATCCTTAACCATTGCAGTATCTTTCAGCTATTTAACTTATTTCTTCATCTACAAATATTATTCTTACCCAGCTTGTGCCTTCTCCTTGGTGAGTGACTCAATCATTTTTTGACCCAACTGATAAATAGTCTCCATTTCTGTGGTCTTCAGCGTCAACTTGCCAACCTTAGCACCCTGCCAATCAAGTAATAAATGAATAATATATTTACTGATAACAATGAATAGTGAAAACAACTCAAAACAACACAGGATGAGAACATAAAAACTTTAAAAAGAGATATTTTATCATAGACGGATTACATAAAAAATGGAGTCATCCACATTACAACAGGAGAAAATTGCTAACAGTACATTTAAGTCTCTTGAGTTATAGTGAGGTATACCCTCTTAAGATTTTTTCTTTAATTTTTCTGTAGGTTGCTTGAACAAGACATGAAACATTTCTAAGCTGTCACATTCACAAAAAATTTCAAAACCCCAAAAGCATCTCTCACAAAATATTTTCGGAGATGAAACAACCATTAAACCTCAATAAACATGTTTTTGCTAGCATCACAGGAGCATATGGACTTAAACAGCCAATTTTCAACAAAATATGAATCCCATTTAGCCACACACACAAAAAAAAAGAAAGAAAAGAAACCATGCAAACTCTAAATATCCATGGGAAAGTTGAATAAAGACTCCCATATGTCTTCCTCATAATAACTTCATCCGACTAACTCTTGATCAGTGAAATACTTACTGTTCCTGTAGCTGGTCTGTCAATCTGAACCTCAACTATTTCTCCTTCAATGATTTCAGTTTCCTCCCTGTGCAGAAAAATGAACATCTTACCAACAACATTCACAAACAATGCAAAGATGAAATGACTCAAACATTTTAGAATTTAGTTCAACACCCGACTGGAGACTTAGACACTCTTTATGTGTGCATATTCAGCGGCGTCCAAAAGAAACTTGAAAATGTATTCAACCCATCATCATGTTAAAGTCTTTCACAACCCACCCACGCAACATACTAATTTAAAGTTAAATAAATTCTGCATCATTTCACACATTAATTTTTCATCTATAATATGAGTTGCCAGAGATATTGTCAATAATAACTAACCTTTAAAAATCATGCTGGGCAAAATTGTGTGAAATCAAAGAAATGTAAAAGTGTGATCACACTTGCATTGGAGTGACATGTATTGAATATCAAGGCTATTGAACAGAGAACCCTGCTATAACAACAACTTCATGCTCATCCCAAGGTTGACCGAATAACGAGGGTTGACTATATGTACAATGGTGAGCACACGAAGTTATGCAGATCATCCTGTATGTTGTTGAGTAAAAAGAAGCACATCGACACCATAATTATGGCAATTTCGTACTGGTAAAAAGTGAGAACAGACAAAAACAACAGAGTGAAATTAAAGAAGTAGGACCTACCAGTGGCACCCTCCAACTAACCGCAATCATCTCATAGTAGAGTTTGATGATGAAGATGGATCTAGATCCTAGCTCTACACTTAGTAGTGGTAATGAAGACAATGAGACTGATAGAGGCTGCTGCTAAGAGAGATGTAGCTGTCAGTGTTACAACAGACCGCGGAACGGAAAGATACAAATGTGTCTGAAGTAACAGTTCAATCCATTTACAGAGGCTATCAGACTTCATGACAATGGAGAGGAAAAAGAACCCTACTTTCACTATTTCAGTCTCCTTATTAGAGAAAACCAAGCAGATAAAACTATAAGCTACACACACACATTCAATGAAACGTTTTTTCTTCATCTACTCTTATCTCATTCAGTGCTCAATGCTACACCGGTGAACCTCCTTTCAACATTGAGCAGTTTAATCATGGTTACATGTAGTCGGGTTGATTCTACATGAAAAAAATAATCATCATAAAACAAAAAAACGCTGAACCTTCACGAGCTGTTATATTTCAAGTACATCTAAAACCATTACTTTGGTCTTAATCCTTAGGACTGGCTTTTTTTATTATGACCATGCATGAAAATCAGGAATTTCAAATCAAGAGCAGCAGTCGTTGAAAAAAAAAGTGCCCCCCCC